GGCTATCAAAATCGAAGGGTACCCTGGATTTACACATAAAAATTATTTGTTTTCATGCAGCATCTCTCAGAAGTAAGTACAATCCAGACTTGCTGGCAATCCGTCAACGTTCACCTGCTGGTCGTCGCTCCGGCATGCTCCGGCTACAGCTGTTGAAGACGAAACCATGCTACCACAGCCAGAGAACTTGGCCACAGCAACCGCTAAGATGCATTCGATGTCACGAATGTCAACCCTTTGAGTTGTTGTTTTACTTGTTCACGCCTTCTTGAGTTGCTGTTTTTTTTGCTTTGATAGCTGAATATCCGCTGAAACCGGACCATGGTATTTCATGAACATGTCACTATTTGAGAACGGTAGCCCTAGTGGAAGAGTTCCCCCCAGCACAAGCAGTACAAGAACAACTGCCCCATTTCTTCAGAAAAGATGCCAATGCACGCTGTGCTGGTTTGGGAGGCGGGACCGGGACATCACCTTGAGCTAGGATATGCCAGGACGATCGTTCAACGATGTACTGAATCACCCCGTTGCTGTTTTGCAGTTGGACTAGCATATGAGCCATTGTGGCCTGTCAACCATCATGATATGAACCATAATCTTGGGAAAGATCATCTTTCTGTGGTTCCTAGCTCTAGCATGGATTGGAAGACTTATATATATATATATATTTATTGGGAAACGCAGTCAAAAATAGTAGGTGAGAAGCCAATGTACCAGATATTTCGTATTATTTCATGATATATAGACAAACAAGATACAGTGAACCCAGGTTATGACGTCCCCTAAGCCATATGGAGGTGTCCTAAGTCATGGGGATTCCCCTCATCCCTCAAAGTGAAGCCGTCAGGTTTGATGTCCGGTGCAGCAGGCGTGGAGATGGGTTTTCTATGGCTTAAATATCAAAGGATGTTCTCAAGATGTTTTTTTTGCGGAGGAGATGAATCTTCAGATCACCAGAATCTACATGAATCTACCATATGATATATAAAATTTATTATAAAATTGAATATCTATTTTTAAACATATGTATATATACATGCATACATCATGCATACATTTGGTGTAGACAGCAGCATACTGTTGGATTTAGACCCACAGCCATGTGTTGCAGGTGCCGTGGTTGGCACCCGGCGGCACCACCAAAAGGAGGTGTGCGGCAGTGTGTCGCAGGCGGCGCCTGCAGAAGCTTGTGATTTTACCCTGAAAAGGTGGCAATAGGGATAGATGAGGATATAGAATATCATTGGGGATTTCTAATACAGAAACTGCATCCATGTTTAGGAAAACCTCGAAATCCTTGAGGTATAATTTGTGAAAATGAATGGAATTAATAGAAAGTAGAGACATTCAAAACTCTAGGTTTGGAGCTGAACACTGGTCCAGTTTCAAGATAGTTGTTTGTTTTCAAATGTAAGTTCCATAGTTGTGGATCCTGGATGATTCAACTTGATGGAACACCCATGATTTTCTCTTGGAAATGATTGAAACATGAGTACCAGCCATTTGGATCCTGGCTGAATTATGGCGAGCAACAAACGAATGAAGCGATATTTTTCAAAAGAACCTTGCTTTCCAATTTCCAATATTCAGAATATCACAACTTGTGTGGATTTTCCAGTAGGTAAAAAATTCACTGGAGGTCTTCGGAAACATTGTGGGTTTGGGGTCGTCGGAAAAAGCTGCGCAGTGCAGCAGGGCAACTTGGATCACAGCATCAACCTAGCAGATGCTCCCATCATCAAGGTGGAGACAGCTGGAGCTTGGTGCGTCTGATTGGGAAATAGTCATGGTATGATATCCCTGGGGATCCCTGGGGTAAACTAACATAGGTGTGGAAAACACCCTGGGGACAACCCTATGAAAATGATCTATAAATTGGTAATTTGTCCACATCTACGTTAGTTTAATGTAGGGTACATATTATGGAAAATCCTCACTTACGGGTTTCTTAAAATGGGGAATCCACAAGTGACCATGGCTTTCAATTCAAAGTCATGACCGCTCATGATTTTAACAACACCTCCACTTATATTTGTATACGGTACGCTTATATATGGTTATATCATGTCATATCTATGGGTCATAACCTGCCTACTTGGGATGTACATTCAAGTAGGGCAGATCGGTTTTCCTTCAAAAAATGAACTGACCCAAAGTAAATCACAATCAAGGCAGACTGGGGTTGGTTTTGTTCTATCTTAATTCCAGGACTTCTAGTCACCAGACCAAACAGCAAATATATATATATAATATATATATATAATAATTAACTATATATATATATGTGGGTGTTTATAACGGTATCATTATCAAGATTCTTCCTGAGGTCGCAGTTTCATTCCACTGTAGGAGTTTCCTTCACGTAGCCGCTGCCAGGTATATCACCAGTCCGAGCCGTCCACGTGGAAAGAACTCCGGGTGTTCGGCCCCTGGAGCGATGAGTTGGGCCGTTGGGCTTCGGGGATCCCTGGGTACCCTCTGGATATTTAACATAGCTATTGAAAATCACCATTTATAGTGGATTTACCCATTAAACATAGTGATTTTCCATAGCTATGTTAGGTACCAGAGGGTATCCAGGATGAGATGAGAATCAGGGTGCTGGTGGACCATGATCCCCACGGGTAGATTTTCCAGGTTGAAACCAATCGGAATGGATGACTGGATGACTGAGGGTTTCATCCTTGAGAGCCAAGTGATGGTAGAGCTTGGAGATGATTTCGAAGTTTTGAGCCCCAAACATGAGACCTGATTGTTACCCTCAGGCCATCAATAGCAGTCTAGTTTGGAGCGTTCCTGCAGTAACTGGCAGCCTCACAGGAATTGTGATCATCCTTTGCACAGAAAAAACTTGCACGAAATGGTAGTAAGTATTCCCCAACAAAGCTAACCATCCATCATTGCAATTTCTATGACCAAGCAGGGACAACTATTTGCCACCTTGAACTTTGTAAACTTTACAGACTGTTCTTGTCTCTTTCTAGTTGGGACAATCATACAATGATCATATAGAGTACCCTCTGGTAATTTAACATAGCTATTGAAAATGGCCATTTATAGTGGATTTTCCCATGAAAAATGGTGATTTTCCATAGTTATGTTAATTTACCAGAGGGTAGAGTAATTTTCCAAAATCTGCATCATGTTTGTCGATGGCATCTATTGGATCAACAAACAACGACAACATCAAGAGACGACTATACACATGATGTTACTATATATGTATTTATATATGTTATATGTTACTATATATGTGTTTATATATGTTATATGCGACTATAATATATGTGTTTATATATGTTATATGTGACTATATGTGTATTTGTATATGTTAGATGTTATATGTTATTTATATGTTATAAACATTGACAGATGCTCCAATGTCCAACTTTCTTGAGGCCTCGTGCCTTCCGCGCTGGTGTGGACGATTCCTCAAAGGTGGGGAGCTTTCCATAGGCGGAACCCCGGGAACCTCCCATGACGTAGGAAAGCTCCAAATGATTCTAACTTCGTTTGAGAAGAGGGTGTTTTTTTTAAATGAGGCAACCCTCATTATAAACCATCCCCAACTTCCGCAATAGAGGTCTAAGACAGTCTAAGATTGGGTATGCCGGTATATCACCATTTGGTATATGGTTTAGTCCAGCAAAAAGAAGGGCTTGAAGCAACACACCATATACTTGTCCTTGTGTTTCTCTTGAACAAATTGACGACAAAAAACGGGAACATGGGGGAAACGGTAAACGGATGAACATTGAAGAACAATTAGCAACAATGGTTGCAACCTACTTGGAAGGGGGATTACACCAAGGAAGTGGGTCCTCACGCGGTTACGATATGGTCAATGGTGAGGGTAACGGATGCCTCAAGTGCAACTTAGTTCCATTGTGGCGATCAGCTCACTAAGTGCAGCGGAACCGTTGGATAAGAACCGAATAAGATGTTTCCTGCGTACCCTGGGGTTCTTAAGTGCTACATGTGAATACATATGGGGATTGTGAGCGAGGCTACCCTCAAGTTTTTAAGGAATAAGTTCTTAATCATTAGGTCTTGTAATCCGCCCTCTCCAAAACGTATTTCACAAATTATCGGAATATGTTCACAACATATGCGAAACAAACATGTACTATATAAATATATACTCACCATTTTCTTCCATTTTCTCATTCTTCTCGTTGTGATCTCCCGGTGTGTTGGCCTTTGGAGCTCCCATCCCGGTCGCCTCATGTCTCCGTAGCTCGAGCGCGTTTCCAGTGTTTCCCCATGTTTCCGCTTCCGTGATCCCGGAAAAAGGATGAACAGGGTATATGGCTATGGATCAATACCTATAAATACCATTTTTAGGGGGATGAACATCCGTTTACCAGCTATTTTGATGTGAACTACAGGGGTGCAAGGTTTTGACACATATAAGATTTGAATAAGATTTGAATAAGAACTAATGGCCAGAAACCCAGGGTACCCATTGGGATCCCTAGGGCCCTAGGGTTCTTATTTCTAGAGAGGATTGAATCCAGCAATTTTTAGCCCTGACGTTCTGCAGAAAAGGTTCAACTGGGGGTTTCACTGTTCCCTTGATCGGTTGAAGTTTGTCCAGATCTCCAGTACCTGCGAGGCCTGCACCTTGGAGGCCTTGCAACGGTGGTTGTCAAAGCAATTGCAGGATCAAGTGCCCTTTGGCGGAGATCCATTGGTTTTTTCCATGGCTTTTTCCGCACCTGCGGACCGGCAGACTATGGCAGACTTGTCGTCTAAGCTTGGACACATAGATTGTGAATGGGCAAGAAACTCTCACTGGTTTTTATCTGGTTTTGGGGTACTGAACAAGTTTAAGAAATGCCCATTTGAATTGGACCATTGAATGTGTGTCGCCATTCTTCTAATACATTTCGCGGGTGGCCTTTCAAGAAAACTTTTGCTGAGATAAACTTTGTGCATTATGTTTTTTTTTGTATTATATGTTCTTCTTGGTTTTTTGTATACTGTTACATACAGATTTCTTTGGCGGATATTATGGATCTGAAGATTGGTTGGAATGGCTCGAAAGAAGAGATTGCTCTACAGGAGGAATTTCATGGAATTTCCCCACGACACCATTGCGTTTTGTATCACTGCCACCGGCTGATGTGGCAATGGTTGATTACTTCTGGCATCTTCTGACTACATGTGCTCTCATGCATTATCTATCACCGTCAACTATACTGGGGCCGCCAAAAAGTAAGTGATTCTGTTCTATTTGATGATGTTTGATGGTGCTTACTTTTGCATGTCTCTGAGGGTGCTTACTTTTACTCCCATAGGTACCAGATAGTTCCTTTTGGCTGATGTACAAGAAGAAACCTCTATGGGAGCCAGGAATGAACAGATCCTCTTAAAACACGGGCAGTGTTTGGGGGAAGGGATATCTTCCCCTGGGATGGTGGTCTCATGGCACTATCAGACTATCAATCCAGGAATAATATAAACATGTTGGGGGGGTACCAATTCATAAAGGGAAATATCACTATTTTCAGACCCCCCCAATGGTAAAAAGCCGATTTTTAAATCCGCGGTTAACATGAAGCACCAACGAGAACTTGTTTTTTTAATTGGCACCATGACTCTCCCAGGAATGATATTGGAGTGGTCATCGAGCAAAAGGATGAAGAGGACTGGATCTCAACATGGGTGTGTCTGAAAATTGGGTATACCCCAAGAAAACATTGCATTTTAATAGTGGAAATGTGATGGTAAGAATTGAGATGTTCAGACAGACTGACATGTTGACATAGACCACTTAATGTTCGTTATGTGTTTAGCCTTGAAAGATATGTGCATTCTTTGCATGTCATTGTCCTCAGAAGTGCATTTTTTCTTTGTTTTGACGCTTGTTTATTTCGTTCATCCGATCATCCGCACGGGAAGTGTGGTGTTCATGTTGATTGCTCATCACATGATATTCTGAAGATCCCAAATCATGGACTATCGATAGATGATATGTATATGAATAGTTCTAATTAATTCTTTCTATATTAACATCTACTTCAGAAAATCAGGATATGTATGCATATATACATATACATATATGCATATACATATATACATATATAAATATATGTATAATTATATATATATATACACATGATATCCTTATTATGTGTACAGTGTACTTGGTGTTACATAATATGGCGAATTCGATGGGTAATTTGTCAATTCCGCCATCCATTGGCGCTGGAGGATCCTCACATCATTTGGTTACAGGCCAAGGACAGGGTCGGTCAGCGGATTTGGAAAAACACATTAGGGAAGTATATGGTACATATGGTATGTATATGTATGTATCATCTTTAAGATTTCTAAGTAACATTGGTATGTATCATTGCATCATCTATAAGATTTCTACAACATCATGTCATTGAAATTGCTTGCATTTTTGATCATTTTCGCATTTCGTGTTTTTTTGGGGACCCCAAAATATATCAGATCAGCAAGTGTTGGGATTCGGTTCTGGCGAAAGTCAATGATATTTTGATATGTATTGGCTTCGGTGCGATAGATTCGATTCAAAATTATCCAGGTACTGTACTGGTAGTACGAATGTTCAGCTCTTTCTATACGCCACTGGATACCAACGTCTTGATCGTCTTGAGCTCTTGAGAGGCATAACTGCTGGATTCACATGTGGATTCTCATGATTTCAAAGAATTCAAGGCAAATGTCGATGCAAAAGCAGGGCCCATGATTTCAAGGCCAGTCGATGCAAATTCGTCAGGACATCGAAGAAGGGGGTTCGCCCTTTCGAAACGAGCTTCGCGTCGTCGTTTGTTTTGAAGGCATGGCTCCTGGATTCCTCAGCAATGAAAATCGATAAAATCGACTGTATTCATATTGAAATATCACTTGAATTGTTGTTTTATGCATCTGTGTCTTCGTTTGTCCTCCGGTGCTGCTGTTGAAGTTATTTTATATTATTCCCGAGAGCGCCTGCGAAGGGTTCTTCGTAAAAAAGCAGCCGTTGTAATACATCTTCACACCCTCACATCTGCTGATCTATATCTTCACACCTTCACATCTGCAGATCTAGATCTTCACACCCTCACATCTGCAGATCTCCTCTCGCTCTTCTTTGTATCTCTCTCTTAAGGCGGGGGCGGTGCCGCCGGAGCGCCACGAAACGCAACCCTTTCGCACGAAACGGAGGTTGGACGTCAAAAACTGAGGAAAAAATGCGATTTAACTTAGTCAAATGCAACCCTTTCGCACGAAATGGAGGTTGGACGTCAAAAACTGAGGAAAAATTGCGATTTAACTTGGTCAAATGCAACCCTTTCGCACGAAATGGACGTTGGACGTCAAAAACTGAGGAAAAAATGCGATTTAACTTGGTCAAATGCAACCCTTTCGCACGAAATGGACGTTGGGCGTCAAAAACTGAGGAAAAAATGCGATTTAACTTGGTCAAATGCAACCCTTTCGCACGAAATGGACATTGGGCGTCAAAAACTGAGGAAAAAATGCGATTTAACTTGGTCAAATGCAACCCTTTCGCACGAAATGGACGTTGGGCGTCAAAAACTGAAGAAAAATTACGAGTTTGAGGTGTCACGGGCAAGTCTGTGTGTAAATGTTTCTGTGTGTAAAAGTGTCTGTGTGTAAAAGCAGTGTAAAATGGTGTGTGTGTGTGTGTAAAGGTGTCTGTGTGTAAAAGCTTCTGTGTGTAAAAGCGTCTGTGTGTAAAAGCTTCTGTGTGTAAAAGTGACTGTGTGTGACATGGTCTGTGTGTAAAAGTGTGTGTGTAAAAGCAGTGTAAAATGGTGTGTGTGTGTAAAGGTGTCTGTGTGTAAAAGCTTCTGTGTGTAAAAGCGTCTGTGTGTAAAAGCTTCTGTGTGTAAAAGTGACTGTGTGTGACATGGTCTGTGTGTAAAAGTGTCTGTGTGTAAAAGCAGTGTAAAATGGGGTGTGTGTGTGTGTAAAGGTGTCTGTGTGTAAAAGCTTCTGTGTGTAAAAGCGTCTGTGTGTAAAAGCTTCTGTGTGTAAATCTTCTGTGTGTAAAAGCCTCTGTGTGTAAAAGCAGTGTATGGTCTGTGTGTAAAAGGTGTCTGTGTGTAAACGCCCTGTGTGTAAAAGCTTCTGTGTGCAGAAGCGTTTGTGTGTAAAAAGCTTCTGTGTGGTGAAAGTGTTTGTGTGTAAAAGCTTCTGTGTGTGAAAGCTTCTGTGTGTAAAAGTGACTGTGTGTGACATGGTCTGTGTGTAAAGTGTCTGTGTGTAAAAGCAGTGTAAATGGTGTGTGGTCTGTGTGTAAAAGGTGTCTGTGTGTAAAAGCTTCTGTGTGTAAAAGCTCTGTGTGTAAAAGCTTCTGTGTGTAAAAGTACTGTGTGTGACATGTCTGTGTGTAAAAAGTCTGTGTGTAAAAGCAGTGTGGTGTGTGTATAAAGCGTCTGTGTGTAAAGGGTCTGTCTGTAAAAGCTTCTGTGTTAAAAGCTTCTGTGTGTAAAAGTGACTGTGTGTGACATGGTCTGTGTGTAAAAGTGTCTGTGTGTAAAAGCAGTGTAAAATGGTCTGTGTGTAAAGGTGTCTGTGTGTAAAAGCTCCTGTGTGTAAAAGCTTCTGTGTGCAGAAGCGTCTGTGTGTAAAAGCTTCTGTGTGTAAAAGCTTCTGTGTGTAAAAGCTTCTGTGTGTAACTGTGTGTAAAAGCTTCTGTGCGTAAAAGCGTCTGTGTGTAAAAGCCTCTGTGTGTGAAAGTGACTGTGCGTAACATGGTCTGTGTGTAAAAGTGTCTGTGTGTAAAAGCGTGTGTGTGTAAAATGGTCTGTGTGTAAAGGTGTCTGTGTTCTGTCTCTGTGGACATGGTGTTGCATTCATTTGTTTGGTGATTTTGTTTTCTGATTGTTCCAATTCAAGCATGGAGTTTTACCGCACAAGTCTGTGCGAGCGGCATTCGACTGCAATTTCTTCAAAAGAATCGTTTGGTCGGAGCCTCAAGTGAATGCAGAGATGCCTTGAAAGTAATACTCGCAAAGGCCTTTGACAAAGAAGGAAAGGAAAGACTGGGCCACCACATAATCAGTCATGCAAAGGCCTGATTTTCATGCAAATTTCTGGACACGGCACTTTCACCAAACCACCATACAACAAATGAAACGCAAGGTGAAAGATGTTGAAGAATGTTGAAGACATGTTCGATTGAAACTTCAGACTCCTCTAGCCTTTCCAGCAATATTACTGTATGATCCAGGTTTGGTCGGCAAGGCAGCCTCGTCAGTATCCTACAGATAATTTTGGAGATAAGATAATGTAATCATCATTCATAATTTGCCCAAGTTTGGCCGAGCTTCTGCAATCTAATGGTGCTCGTCTGTGACTGGAAGGGGTTCGAGTGGCAATCCAGCTCCACCCTTCGGTCGCTGACCCCCGACATCATCGACGTCGGAGTCGCCACTGCCAGTTATCAAACCAACGCAACGAAAATTGGCAAAGCCAGAGTCATCAGTTCCAAAGATCCTGGTGCCACAACTTCTTTTGCCATCATGCCGAGTCCTCCCAGAGCATTCTCTCCAACCAGAAGTCCCAGTGCCAAAGCATGGATGTCCTGAATTATTTCCAGAGACAATGGAGCCAATGGAGACGATCAGTGTTGATGATTCTGAGAGTTCATCTTCTATCAGTGATTGGGAGCTTCCGCCATCTGTTAGATCGATGTCGAAACATGTGCGCAAGGCTATGATCAAACAACAGAGACGTGAAAGATTACTTGCCGCAAAGAAGTCCAGGGCAATGCCAAGCAATGGAGTGATGATCCAGCAGTACCAGCCCAAGACTAATAACATGTTTTTTTAGGCATCCAAAGGATTTGCCTGCAATTCATGTGAATACCCAGAAGCGGTTTTTTCAGGCATCAAAAGTTTGCCAAACTCAGACTGGGGGCCAAATAAGAGCCTTTGTGTGGGACTGACATCGTCTCACCATAATTTGTAGCTGAAGGACCGAAAGCGTTTCTTTAATTCATTTTGTTGGCAACCAAAACTACAGCCTTTACATGTATAATCATGTCAAAAAATGTCAATCATGTTTCGGACTAAAACCAATACACTGCTGGGAACCTTTTGGGGCCAACTAAGTCTTTGACGACAACCAGTCTTGGTTCCTTTTTCTGGATCTGCATTTGATTTTGGGATCCCCCAGTGCAGCACTCAGCTTGGCGACAAAAAAGGGATGTGAGCTTGTCTGACAGCTGATTTTTGAATTTGAATGATTCTGAAAGTTCATACGTAATGGCTTGGATTTTGAATTTGAATTCATGAGTAACGTCTTTTGTGATGTTAGTTTGGAATCAAAATCACGGCTTTGATTCAAGCATTCACGTCAAAGTCACTCAAACCACTCTCAGATGTCAGAGTCAGAAAAGCACTCAAATCACACTCAGGATCAAAGTAATGTTTATATTTTCAAAGAACTCACTGTCAAATAATATCAGTTTTGTGTCAGACATATGCCAGGGGCAGAGATAACAGATTCCAATCACTTGCACTCATGCGCAGCCATTTGGTCAAATTCGTTTTTTGCAAACTTTGTGAGGGAGCCATGTCTGGCAACCCGGGTTTTGAACACCCGCTGACTCCGCTGACCCGCTATCTTCGCAGACAATTGGAAGCTCAAAGAGAACCAGATGAAGAGCCAGCTTCTACATTGTGTTCTAGCAAGGCAACGGCTGGAAACTCGCTGGGATCAGACGATTTAGGGGATCGCCTCGTGCTGATTTTCAACCAAGGACGCCGGGTGTTAATTCAAAGGCGCCATTGGACATTCATAGTTGAGAGTTTGGACCCGGAGGAGAGAATGGAGTACATGGAATATTGAAAATAGATTAGATTCTGTTGTAATATTAAAGTTGTTATTTAAATTAAATCCAGCCGTGACGTCTCAATAATGTTTGTTGTATTTACTCCATTCTCTCCTCCCCCGTGGAATTGTTTTGGAAGGTAAAGCTTCTTGGAATTGACAAAACCAGTCCGAGAGATGTTCTACATGGAATTTTCCAGGTAGGTTGACAAAAACATTCCGAGAGAGGTTCTACATGGAAAATTTCCAGGTAGGTTGACAAAACATTCCGTGGAGGCTTCTACATGGACTTTTTAAACATTCCGTGGAGGCTTCTACATAGAATCTGGCAAAATTCCATGCACTATAGAACCTGGAATAGCTCAGAAAAATTCCTGAGCCTGAGCGTGCTGATAAAAAATGTTTTGATCGACTCGTTGCATCAATGCATCAGTCATGATGTCAATGCAGCATGTTCACTGGCATGATCACTTGATACCATATCTCTCATCACCATTACTTTTGTTCAATTGTTCCTCGCCCAGGTCCTTTTGGAAGATGAGAGGCACGTACTCAGAGGCTGCACAATGATTATATATCATATAATATTTCGTATTATATATGTTATGTTAATTACGAATATGTTTTTTTGGCTGTGCCTGCCTAATGAATGAAGTGCTGTGCCTGCCACTTGGCTCAAGGCAGTTTTTGTAGGGGCATGATGCCCCAAACCAATTGTGGATTACACTTACGCTTGGCATGATGCAGCACGCCAAGCCTTTGATGACTGGCACTTGCAAGTCATTGTGCTTGGCATGATGCAGCAAGGCATGCTTTTGACTAATAATTATGACTTTCCAGTTGGGTGCCTTGTGCCCCAAGATGGAGGCCAAATGGTGGGTCTCCTGACCCTTGGTCCAAATCCCCTTCAGTGCGTGGAAGGACTCGATCGGCAGGCCTGGGTCCAGTGCTAATCGATGGCATTCGCCTTCCTCTTTGAAATGCCGCAGGTATCGCAGCTCGGAAGGCACTGAGCCAGAAATCAGCACCAGCACCCGATCCCCAACAGTTACCTTGTTTGCGGCGATGGCTTGGATGCAATTTCTCACTTTCGCCACTGGGCAATTCTCTCCGAGTTCCGAACCACTATTTTTTGGCCTGAGGTAAAATTGAGGTAAAATTGCGATTTCACGGGTCCGGTCTCTGTGTGTGAAAGTGTTTGTGTGTAAAAGCTTCTGTGTGTGAAAGCTTCTGTGTGTAAAAGCCTCTGTGCGTGAAAAGTGTTTGTGTGTAAAAGCGTCTGTGTGTGAAAGCGTCTGTGTGTAAAAGTGTCTGTGTGTAAAAGGGTGTGTGTAAAAGTGTCTGTGTGTAAAAGCTTCTGTGCCTGTAAAAGCGTCTGTGTGTAAAAGCTTCTGTGTGCAGAAGCGTTAGTGTGTAAAAGCTTCTGTGTGTAACAGCGTCTGTGTGTCACAGCTTCTGTGTGTAAAAGCTTCTGTGTGTAAAAGCGTCTCTGTATAAAAGTGTCTCGTTTCTGGACATCCACGGCATGATGGTACCGAGCTTTTTCGGCAATGTGTGTGTGGGAATTACCAGCATCATGGTACCTAGCGTCCTGTGCACTTTTCTTGCTTACATTATATTTCTTCATGTTTTCTTTGTATCTCCCTCTCTCTCTCTCTCTCTCCCTCTCTCTCTCCCTCCCTCTCTCCCTCCCTCCCTCCCTCCATCCCTCCCTCCCTACATTTCTCTCTATCTGTGGCTCTCTGTGGTTGCAAGACACGTGTCATCTGATGCCTTTTACCAAGCAGCACAATGCATATGCATGGGTTGTCACAAGTATCCTCTTCTTAATCAATCTTACTTTGTCACACCATATCTTTCCATAGCTCATATAAAATTCACCAACTATTCTTCACCGACTATTTTTTTACGATTACCATCCTCAGAGCTGCTTGAAAAACATCTTTTTCGCTCTCGGGCCAACCGTCGTCTAGGTATTTTAATCCACAGTTCTATTCCTGCAATTGAAATGTCACATTGTCCTCAGCTTTTCTGTTTTGTTTCCATGAAACAACATTTTTACATCAACACCAACTGCTTAGCATCTCACCATGTCTCACCCAGCGAAGAACTTCCCGCCGGTCTTCAGGTGAAGAGCCCAACAGCGAAGTGGTCAAGGCTTTGAGGCGTTGGGATTCACCCGGAAAAAGTTCACCATGGGATTTAGCATCACTGCAGCTGAAAAACCGGCCAAACATGGTGGGTTTCCCCAGTGGTGGATATACCCCGAGTTGTGTAAGTTGACTGGGAAAATGATAGCAAACTATAGCAAACTCTCGGATTTTCAGGGGAAACTGGCAATGTCAATGAGGTTCAATGAATATCTATCGTTCACATGAACCAATCTGGGACATGTTCCACTGTGAATTTTTGTCATTCACCGATTGAATTGGAATCCCAATCAACCAATCAAGATCTGAGATATCAACAAACTGGGTGGTTTCTTTTTTTGTTGTCCTCGTATCCAACATGGGGAAACTTGGCCAAGCAGAAGAAAGAAATGGTAGCCAGCAAGGATTAGAATGTAAAATGATGTAGACCACGAAGCGGAATTTGGGAATATAAAGCTGGTAATGAAGACCTCATTGACTTTCAATGATTTTCGTAGTATGGCAGGGATTGGTCAAAACCAACAACCAGCTGGCACCATGGGGAAAAAGCATAGGATGAACATCCAAAACTGGTACCTTGTAATTTGTAATGTCAGGGCGGCATGGTAGCAGGGTCAACCGACACATCTCAAATAAAGTGTCAACCATCGATCAATGAACCCTGGTTGGTTAGGGGTGATTATGTCTCCTCACAGACCCCCACATGAAACAACTCAAGGGGTTACTATTGGTGACATGTTGACGCAGCTTGGGGATGTTCATCAGCACAAATGCGGCTAAATGAAGCAACAAGAAACGGCAAAAATGAGGAAAGTCCAGCAACCACTGGGTACGTTCAACATTTGGAAGAGATGAGCAGCTGATAGGGATGTTAAACCAGAAATTGCTCCGGATTGAAACCAACGTGCAAAACATGGGACAATCGCTACCGAGGAAAGAATCGGGATCTGATTGATACTGATTGATTATGAACCTGTCATTTGGCTTACTATCATTACCCTCCCGTGTCAAACGCAATGTGAAATCCCTAAACTAAATGGAGTGTTTCTCATTCGATCATTGGAGCGATAGCGCATACAACTATAGGGATATCATGGCAAGATGCAAAGTAACAGATATGTCCTGTCTTCTCCAAGCAGGGTTTTCACAAGTTCACCATAAAATGGCTGAAGAAGATACTTACTGTACCCTCCGGTAATCAAACACGGCGTGCTGGAAAATGAACCATTTATAATATGACTATATGACTTTCCCAGCTTTAAAACTACATTTAGTATATTTAGTTCGTGGATTTTCCAGCCACCCGTGTAAGTTGCCATGGGAATCTAGAATCTCGACCACATTTGCATCCGAGCTTTACCAGCAGCAGCTTTCATGGGCGACAAGATCGACAACAGCCACATGGAATACTAATATACTACTATAGGCTATACATGTAAACATATATTAGATATATAAGATTACTATGTACAATATATTTATATGTTTTTTTTAATGTAAACATATATATATACACATTATAGTATATTATCATTATATGTGTGTATTTATATGTATTCAACCGTTGAAGGTGATTGTTTATTTTCTGAATGGTAAATTCATGATTTAGGAAGTCTATAGGTGTCATGTTTATTTTTGGTGGGTTCCTTAAGCAAATCCAAATATAAGAACCTCTGGGTTTGTCTGAACATAGGGTATTCCCAAATTTGAGGTTAGATACTATTTGTCCCATTGAACGACAATCTTTGGGGGGTATACCCAGTTTTTGGACACATCGAACTTTGGCATTGTTGGTTATATCAAGGTATATCCCATTATCATATCAGATTAAATATCAAAATATAACATGGTATATCAGTACCCCTATAAAATCTCTCAGATGAAATATCCTCAACGAAATATTCCTGAAAATATTAAACTGGCTGGTGGTTTGGAACATTTTTTCCATATATTGGGAATAACCATCCTAAGTGACTAATATTTTTCAGAGGGGGTGAAACCACCAACCAGTAGTTGTTGGTGGTTAATCAACCCAAAATAAACCCTAAATGAAACCATCTGAAAAAATAAACCCTAAATAAAACGGAAAAACGGCTGAAATATATATTAAATATCCTCATGATCTCCCCATAAGAACCAAGCACAGGATCCCGCCGTCCAAGACCCGCGCGACCTCGGAAGGCCGGGTCTAAGCCTATGGGACCACGGACATGATGGACGTTTATGGACCATATTATATATATATGATTAAATAATACATAATATATAATAGATAATATATAACATATAATACATAATATATAATAGATAATATATAACATATAATACATAATATATAATATATAATACATAATATTTAACATATAATACATAATATATAATATATAATATATAATATATAATATATACTACATAATATATTATATATAATATATAATATATCATATATCATATATATTATTTAATATATATATATATATATATATTATACCATTTATATAATATATGTATTTATTATATATTATTAAATATAAATATCATTTAAATTATATATATATGATAAAATAATAGGTAATATATATATATATATTTATATTATATATAGTTTATAATTTATAATATATTATTTATATATATTGTATATCATATTTATTATATATATATGTTATTATTTATATATATTATACACCATATTTTTGTTTATTTATTATGTAGAATATATTATATATATTATATATATATTATATGTATTATATCATATATACTATATTTTTATATTATATATTTTATATTTTTGTACATTATATTTATTTGTATTATATATTATATTTTATTTCTTATATATTATTTATTATATTATATTATATTATATTATATTATATATTATGTATTATATAGTATAATTTATATATTATATATTATATATTATTTAAATTATCTGATATATGATATATTTTATGTATTATATGTACTATATTTTGATGTTATTTTTGTATATATATATATATGTATATATGATATACAAACCATCTGATTACTGGGGTACTGTACCCAAATTTGAACTATACCCAGATCATTCTGAATCTATGTCATTACGATATATATATATATATATATCATATATGCATTATATGTATATATAGATTCATATAGTGTGTGATGGCCATGTACGCTATATATTTTTTGAAAATGAGTAAACATTGAAGAATGACCATAACACTGGGCATATGCCAATCCCAAGTGTTCTTCATACAAAAGCCCTATCTGATGATCAAATTCATTGATTTGTGCTGAGGGAATAACCAGCGTAAAACATGAAGATAACTAGAAGTGGTGCTTTCTTTGACCAGATGGACTAGTCGGTGGTTTCACATATGTTTACACTATAGAACTGCTCTTGTTCCTTCTCTGAGATGATTCAAATTGCCTAATGTAACAATAGATCCATACATATTCCAAAGTTGCAAGAGGGTTGAAACCAGCCATCAGTGGAATTCAATTATAACTAGTGACTCTCCAGTTGAATCCACCGACCAATGTCGCTGCGAGGCTCAACAGCCAGTGCCAAAAGCAGGAAAAGCAGGTATTGCGTGGTTCAGCCGGGGCCGTCCAAGGAGGGCTGTGGAAAAGTGTGAAAATGGTAGATTCACCCACTTGTTACAGCCGTTTGAGTAGGGAACGTATTGGAAAATGATGAAGCACTGACACTGGGATGGAATGGAGTACCTCATTTTCAGACACAGCTATATGATGCTATATGTATGATGTGTTTAATGACATTTTTGATTTTTGTATCTTCACTTGCATGCTGTATCAAATGTGGCTTTGTACACTGCTAGAGTGCACATCCACAAAGTTTCGAGAAACTTCACTGAAAGCCTAATTATTTGGAATGGAACCAGGAAATCTTGGACCGGGGTTGAGCCTGGGGAGACCATCGTTGGGAGATGTTGGGAGCCTTCCTTCATTGCTGAGGTAGCTTCCACCTTGGTGGGTAACCTCGCCTGCTGACCGCAGAGTTGGGATTGGCCGCCCTGTGACGCCCTAAAGCCGCGACTAAGATTCAGGATCCCTGGGGTACTGTAAACTGTAAACATAGAAAAACATGTGGAAGACCCGTGGAAACCTATGGTTTTTGAAGGAAATGGTGAGTTTTCTGCAACGTTTACAGGAGGGTAAGATACCCGTTTTCCGTGTGTCATTTCCTGTCCTCAACTTCCATGATACAACTGGCTTCAGACACATCACGGGCAGCGGTCCGCGAAGGAATCTGGCTGGGAACACTCACACCTTGCAACATGTCGTGGTGCTCATGGGGAATGTTAACTTTGGTGGTCTCAAGACGTCTCAATTATTTTTTGTATGTGAGTTTTCTTGTTGAACTCCATTTGGCATGATGTTTGATGATATTTGATGGTCGATATTAAAGGTTTTCGGACTTCAAACAGTACTGTCAAAGCAGGAGCCATTGCAGATGGGTATGGATCAATACCTATTAATCACCAGCTGTTTTGGGGTTCACTAGGTACCAGGGTTTTGACCCATCCCCAGATTGCCAAACAGATGACAAGTTTGGAGAATCCTTGCCGGAACATTCCCAGATTCCCTTGTTTGTTGGCCGAGAATTTGAGCGTTGAATCCCTTGGGACTGCCGAAGGCAAGCGTCCCAGGTCACGACTTCTTGAAGTGCGAAGCCGGCAGAGCACAGCCTAGGGACGTGGATCGTAGATGATCGTAGCCAAGGTATGCCATATGTTGACACCAACCCAAATGTGTATTCGAATGGTTATTCCAGGTTGGTGTTTTACGCTTAATCTTTTCCCCCTATTACTGCCTGCTGCATCAGGATGCAGCTGTTTTGGCTGACTTCCACGCTCTGTCTGGCTGGCTTAGGAGCACCAGACCAGCCAGCTGAAAGGCACTCCTCTGCGTAAAAGCCAGGCAGGCCGGAGTGCCTTTCAGCTGGCTGGTCTGGTGCTCCTAAGCCAGCCAGATAGAGCGTGGAAGTCAGCCAAAACAGCTGCACAGGGATGCAGCAGGCAGACAGTACAGAAACAGCCAGGCAGCGTAAACATGGGAGTCTTTAATAGGTTGTTTAACCCCAAAAAATTAAGGGAAACCCTCAACATAGGTATTTGTGGGATCTATAAATTAAAGACTCCAGCCAGCTCAGAAGAAGGCTTTCACTCAGCCAGGCAGAGGGGTGACTTTCAGGCAGCGAGACAGACTGAAGTCAGTTTCACCCAGCTAAAAGCTGGGATCAGGACCCTAATAAAAACACCTGGGGTCCGGGGTTAACGAGTTTTTATTAGGGGGTGACACCCGCAAGTGGTAGCGCTTCATGTTTATATTGTTTTCTAAAGGGGATCAATTAAAAGCCAAATTGGCCAACCTCAAATTTTCCAAAATTGGAGACGGACCCTGGTTTTTATTATTCGCGGGGCTTAGTAATTTGGGGGAAGGGATTATTTGTTTACCCTCTTTGGGATCATGAACCTGTGCATCATATTTTTCAGGGGGAGTTTGAAACCACTTACCAGCATGGATCCAGCATGGAAATCCAATAAATCACAATAAAATGCATGTGTTCGCCTGTAATTACTGCAATGTAAACACAATTGACAATTTTGTTGGCGAAATCTTTTTTTTGCTGAATAGATTATGCTGACTAATGTGTAACATTGTGTAACATAGTAGATATGTTGAAGAAAAACTGTTGTGCACTCGCTGCTGGTTGTTGCTGTGGCACTCACAGTACTCAACACGTCCTTCACAGCAACTTGTTGCTACGTAGTGAAAATCTCACCTTTCCGGGGATTTCTGAAATTGGTTCATGGGAAAAAAAATACATGAAGGCCTTGTTATGTTTGATAGGAAAAGCCGTGGCAACGGGTGGTTTTCTGGGTTATGTTTGTTTCACTCAATCCATTCAGACAGGATCCGCACAAGAAATCACTATTCAAAACATATTATTGCATGGTCCATTTTAGGGGGTTGTACTAGGGGATATGAACTTCACCAGGAATACTATAGCACCAGATGGGATGATATGGGATGGCTTCACACCATGCTTGAGCCTTCAAGTGGAGCTTTGATAGCAGTGTCGCTTTCTCGTCCTCCGTTCTTGGAAGATGGGAGGCGAGCAAAAAGCAATGGTAACAGAGCTCGACCAAGTCACGGATGGTTTCTGTTGAGCCACTGATTGTGAGTTTATTTGTACACATATTGGTTGTCCTGCGTACAGTCTCAGGATAGCCAGACTGCATGCGTGGTTGCGCACTACGGGATCACGAACAAAACAGCCTTAGCATGGTTCAACACGAAATATAGACATCTAAACAGATTGCATAGTCATGGCTGTCGGCGCTGAAAACTGTGTTAATTTTGACTATGGAAAGTACCCTCCAAAAAACAATACCCTGGAAACTTCCCCCATCACTTTGGACAACGAACGGAGTCTTTGCACCGAACTCGGCGGACCAATCCGTGGTGCACAGCCCCAGCACGTGATATCGTTTGGGCCGAAATGCCAGAGACTTTTGGCGGAGTTTTTGTTCAAAAAAAGGTGTAGGTTGATTGGGTTGGATTGAGGACACTGAATTGAGTTGGAATTTTGCTGAAGTTGGACAAAAAGTTCTAAGCTGGAGGTTTCTTGGGTTTTATCAACGGTGTTTCAGGGGAAATCTATAAGAAACCATGGATGTGTCCAGCCATTTTTTTCATGTTTCTTGACTCTGTCCTGTCGGACCTGTTTTGGGAGCCTTCGATTGGATGAATGGTGGTGAACGTTGGAATGGGTGCCAATCACGACTTGCTGTTGGAAAACCCATTTGAGCCACCGCAAAAACTCGCCCATTCGAAACCATGTAAAGGACGGGCATTGGTTTTCAGAAACTGTGCAAACATGAGGTAAGCAATCAGACCTTCCCAAATAGCGATACCCCATGTGAAGGATTTTTCATGCCTGTGCACATATAACATTTTCCTTTAAGCGATACCCCTTTATACCCACCAATTTTGCCATACATTAATGTTTTTACAAACGTGTGGTAAGCGACGGGACCTTCCATCATTTGTCGATGTCCTTTTTGTGAACCTTAAGTTTCCGAGATTGCCTAGTTGGTGATGGACACCAGTGGTTCACAATTAATTATAGTTTGCAAGTGCCCTGAGTGGGTTGCCTCACTTTAATTTGCTTGCAACTTGCAACCTATGCCCCTGTTCTACTCATCGGCTCGCTTATGTCACACGTTAAACTGTTAATACAAAATAATACAAGTGTTTCACATGTTTTCACCATGATTAGGTAATGATGGTTAAAGCATCCATTATCAATAATTTTTTTGTTTGTAGTCATCATGTTTTCCATCTGTCAACGTTGGGAGGCGAGCCCTATTGGCCGAGATTGAGGAGATGGAGGCTGAAAGGAAGATCAAGGAGGCGAGTCTGAGTCCCATGAAAAGCATTAGATCTAATTAATCCATTTTTTTTTGGGGGGGGAACCACCAGTGTTCATTAATCCGGAGTTGACATTCCCTGTGGCAGAGGATTTTCTACACCCAAAAATTGCCAACTTTCATGTACTGTAGATCCCAGTTTGGGATTGTGCTACCACAGTTAGGTGGGCCTATCTTTGAATGGTCCAACCACATATGAGTCAACCACATCTTACACAGGCGATTTATGAGTTTTGCGAGAGGATGGTTGACGGTGAATATCGCTAGTACATGAGGGGAATCCCAACTCATCCCTACCACAAGTCAGTCATTCGTGATCAACATTGGACTCACTACAGTAGAGCAGAACGGAGTTGTGTATAGTAAAGGTTCGGTAGCATATGGTGGTTTCCTAAGTCACGGGGGTACCCCCAATCATCCAAGATCATCCAAGTCATGAACGACCATTTGAGTATTGAAATCCATGGTGACGGGGTACCCCCATTTTAGGAACCCCTCATATATTCTCAGATGCTAAGAGTGAATCCTCAATGACACTGGGCGCGAGTTTTGTTTTGTCTTTATTGAAGCTGGCATGCCAATGATGGGATCAGTCTCAAAAGCTATCGCAATGAAAAACAAAAATCTCTATAAAAGAAATGCACAGAACCGTTTGAGACCCATCATTCTGATCATTCTGTGGGGTGGGGTGATGGCTGACGAAAAATCTCCAGGATCAAGCCGGCGAACAAAGCAACAAAATCGGCAGATTAGACCAACAAAACCGGGCATCCTGGGATCTTCAGCAACATCCCGTTTTTTTTTTCCCGGGTGTAGCAAGAATGCCGCCAAGATTTACCATGAACATGTAGCTCATCTAGAAAAGGAGTGTCCATAGCTATGTTAAATTACCACAGAGTAAATATGATATGTTACTTTAGACATATATCAATATGTTTTTTTTGGTTTTTTAGAATTATATATACAATATATATATATTAATATCAAGCGGATTGTCAATTGCAAGATTGATGAAAAGAGGGTACTTATTAAAAAAAAATCACAGCAGCTGTCTCTGCAAACATCTGCAGCCATGGGGAACTCTTGCTGTGCATGTGGTGGAAGTTCCGAGTTTCGATTCAGCATCCTGACAGGGATGAGGAAGTGGGAAGTGGCTGAGAGTACGCCATTTATTGTATTTTTAAAGATGGCGAAAAGCTGTGGAATACCCCAACCAATCATTGTGTCTTCTCAACTCTGAAGTGTTTGGTTTGACAGGTCAGGAAAGCAAGTGTACATTTACATCTTATTGTTGGAACTGAGCAGGTCACATTATTTCTGCTGCAATTTGTGCTCAATTTGTGCTCAATGAGTTGACATGGAAAGCACCAAACCCTGTTCTGCCTGTGAACCTCGCTGGACCTGTTGAGCGTCGGAGTATGTTTCAGTTCCAGGAGTTTCATGTTGCTGCTATACTCCCCAAACTACTGGACTCAAGAATTGACAGACTAGACCCGCTTTGTGACTTAACCATGGGTTTTTTTCACAATGATAAATCATGACCTAACATGACCTAACAATGATTATACATAAACTCTCCCCAAGTGGTGGTTGATGGCATTTATACCTCACTCCAATCATGGACCATCAGGGTTGATGCTCCGAGATGGTGTATTGTACCATATTGTACCATTGGGGATCTCGTCAACCAATGAAAAAAATCATCATTGATCGAAATACCCTACCAATTGGGAACTGGGGATGGTTTATTACTTCGTAGACATGGATGATGCTGCAAAAAAACATGAAAGACGACGAACGCTTTGTTTTTGGTAGTGTTGCCCTTAAGCAAGTCCAGAGATTACTGTACCCTAAAGTACTCAAACATGGTACCGGGCATTTGAGGGGCTCCCCGCTGTTGATATGTTTCAAAGGTTTCCTAGTGGGAAATTGCAAAGGGTCAAAAACGAAATGTTCATCATCATCAGCATGTTTATCAACATCACAATAAATGTCATCACGAACATCGTCATTAGATCAGCATAGACAACATCACCAACATCTTTATCAACATCAACATCAATATCACATCAACATCATCATTAGAGATTAGACTAAGATAGACATAATCATCAACATTTTCCCCAACATCGACATGAATATCATCGTCATGACCAAAACATCACCATTCTCAGATCTCCAAGAGCATCATCCAGATGTCTCGAAATGCCAGAGCCACAGCTCCTTTTTTTTCACGCGGGCTGCCAGTTGATCAATCTTACGCAAAGCATCTATTTCCATGGAATATCTCCATGACTCCATGCCTACAAAACTGGCTTCAACTTTCCCTTCTGCAGGGTCGCGATGCTGCGCAACCAACTGTCGAGCTGGTCCCAGTTGCATAGAATGAACGTAGCGTAGCATCCAACATGTGCGCAACTGCAAATGAACGCACAGTAGCGTAACATTCAGCATGTGTGCAATTGTAATTTTCACGGTAAACTCGCCCACCCCACCTCGCCCCACCAGTTTTTTCAGCTGACTGTAACATACAAAATCTGACAACGCGACACCTCAAATATGGCTTGCTGATCTTGCTGGAAACTCCCCCATTTGATTCGATCATTGTAAAAAACCTCCATTTGGTTTTCGGATATTCGGGGGTGTAAACATGGATTTCTCAGCCATGTTTGATTACCTATTCTGGCATTGTACAGAATGATTCCCGGGTATTCCTCACTAAAATCCAATTCTGTCCATTGTTCCTTTATATTCCATCATATTCCAACTATAAAGCCGCCATTAACTATACGTAGTTTTTATTAGTTACCAGTATAAGTTCACGGATTTCCCATTTTTTAACTGTTATTTATGATAGTAGGTGACTTTGCCATGAAATCAACATATGTTATTATTTTATCATGTTGTTTCATTATATCTCATATCCCATGAATATTCCAACTATTCCCAATGAATCTTCCGCCAGAATGTCCCATTCTACCGCCAGGTTTGATGGTTAACTCACCATTCTGTGCCATCGCAAGGTGTCGGTGCCGGTCACGATGACATCGTGCGCGCGCTGGGTCGAATCGGAGAAGATGCCGCCATGGCTCAGGCTGCGGCGGTTTGAAAGTTGGGTAAGCGGCACATGTCCGGGAAATGGTCATCAATATATAATCATCAATAATCATCAATAATTATTAATTATATATATATTATGATATAGTTTGAATAATTTGATATATTATCATGATATCATATATATAGTGTATAGTATGATATAATATGATTTGATATTGTATAATATACATATATATATATATGATATCTTTATGATTTATATATACACCCTTTTTAAGGATACAGTACGAAGACCTGGTTTCCAATAAACAGGGTTGACCATTCACCCACCGGATGGGGCACCTCCAGGTGGTTGCAGGGATCGCACAGATCGTGCACGAGCATCCCTATTTGAGGCGCAGATATGTTTGTTGGATGTGGCTGATGTTTGGGGAGGTCCCGCCAATAAACACATCACTTGATGACATACTAACATACTAAACAATATCTCTTGATTATATAATATATTATTGTTGTTAAAACACATATATATATATATATACATATATATATATATATCATATAAACATATAATACACACCATGATTATCATAATGTGTCAATCATCTTGATATTGTCAGCTACTTTTTGGGCCTTGTTTTGATGTCAGTTTCAGAGTTTCTCCCAGGCCCATGGGCACGGAGCGGGCCCCGCACCACCTGCTGTTCTGGGTTCGGAGTTGTCGCGAAGCCATCATTGCGAACCACATCGAGGATGCCAAAGGTTACCTGGCCCTTTGGCTGCAAAGGATTGGACACCTGAGGATTTCCACATGAAATACCCTCTGGTAAATTAACAGTTGGACCCTGGCAGTTGTTGGGGTTGGAAGACTAGTTTCCATGAAAAAATGGTGATTTTCAGGGTCTATGTTAATTTACCAGGGGGTATCTTGAAAATCAGTGGACTGCAGTGGAAACATTGGAGGAATGGAATGGGAGTCGTTTTTTTTAATGGATTAAACAAGAAAGATGAGGTTGCTACATGATGCGACGGTTCAAAAGGGGAAATGAGCCTTTTCAGCTATATTATGTGTAGCAATCACTACAAAATTATACAAAATTAGGTTTTGTTATCATGATGATAATTCAGAATGTATTTGTTTTGTTATGATTTGTCATGATGATCTTACTTATGATGTGTTATAATGATGTACTAGACATGTTAAATATCATTATGTTAATAAAGTATCTTAATTGTAAATAATGTTCATCTACTAATATATACATATATGTATATATAATTATATATATATGTGTGTTTATGGTAATTCTATTTTTTTCATGTTCACATGGACTAAACGCCGCCAGGAACGGGTGACCAACAGTTTGTCCTATGAGATGGCACAAGTAAAGGATTCCTTTCGTCGTTTCGATGTGGACAACAGTGGCAAGTTGGACAGCAAGGAGTTCCGCTACATGTGACTTGGCACAAAGAGTTCTGGCAAAAAAAAACAGTTGAGAATGATATGTATATATATATATGCTATATAATATAGGCGATGTATATGTTATGTACTATATGCATAAGTATACAGTATATATACATGTATATATTATAGATATACGTATACACATTACTTATAACTATTCACATATTATTATATATATGGGATAGTATATATATATATATTATGTATAAAGTGTATATTGTATACATAGTATATTATGCGTAGTATATACTTTATATACTACATATAATATATATATATATACTATGTTTGTATATATACAGCACAATATATCATCTACAACATATATCATATATATATGTTTGGATTGTACCAAGAAGACTTTGGATTTTACCCGCAAAAGATGCGAACGGCTTTCCTTGCAATGTTTGATTGCTAGAGTGCAAACATTGTAGCAGAGATTCTAATATGATCCAGAAAATAACATTCCAACATAATGCATCATCTCAGCTAATCATGGAACAACACGTTTTCACCTGGAAAACCATCAAAACACACAACTGGGTGTGTTTAAATGTTAGGCCATCAAAACACCTCACATTTGCTATTTTATTGGGCCCCAAATTGCTACACCATCTTTGATGTTGCAAATGTCAGAAAAATCTCCGGGGGCTCTTCGAGCTTAGGTGCGCCTACATCGGCTGGGGCGAAGAGGAAGCCTCCTTGATGGACATCGATGACGATGGCTACGTCACCTTGGCCGAGCCTCTCGGCCATAACGGATGGGGTTGGTCGTAAGGGTCGAGTGGATCGGATGGTAAGAACTATCGGTCGAGTAGATGGTCGTAAGAAAAACTGAATCAATTTATGGGATAATAGGGGACAGTGGGATATATCACCAACATGGACAAATTTGGGTTTTGTTTGAATGTGCTTTAAACGGAATTACCCATGAAATGCACATTTATTGGGGAACATGATGATTTCCCATTTCGGATGGATTTAGGGGTACATACCCATCATGTTGGGACAAAGCCCAAGTTTTTGGGTGATTTGGGGATGAATATCAAGAAACACCAGCTTCCAGGAAGTCATATATGCGGTTATACTTCCCCATTAATCATGATTTAATTCTGGATATTAATGCGAAATAGGTTAACGAGGTGGTGCCCCAGTTCGTTAGGTAAGTTGGCAGAACCAGATTGACCATCTATTTCACCGGTTCACAGTTAGCAATGGTGGGAGATGCCATATGTTTAGTTCGAACCTGGGGGTTGTTCTGATTTGTTTCTTTCCTGATATCCTTTGTTGGTGACATTCATATCATGATGGTTCGAATCCTGGCAAAGTTGTTACGCTAACACTTACTGTTTTCTGTGGAAGCTAAACAGAATTTCTCCAAAGCAAAGCCACATTTTGTCCAGTGAAAATCGACATGTTCTCAGTGAAGATCCTACATAGTTAATTCAGCAAAGAAAACACAATAAGGAAAACATAGGATGTGCAAGAGAAAATCAGTAAATCTGCACTTTTCCCAGGAATATCAAGGGAATATTCACATTTGTCATCTACAGAATGAACATCTACAAGGTGGAGCACCCCACTTAGTCTGTTAGATTGACTGATATCACAAACTCCAGAAACCCATAGAAACCCTATGTATTCCAGCTATGTGTTACCGCCTTGGCTATCCATTTTACACCTACATTGGTCCAAACCAAAAGGCGACAGTGGACGCATCCACTTTTTGCGCCGACGCATCCGCAGGTTCCAACGTTTCGTGGGCGACAGTGGAGGCCTGTCGGCCATCTATGAACATCGCCGCCAGCGCGTGGCGCGGAAGCAGTGGGGCTCCGAGGCCTGGAGATTTGTGGTGCAACGAAGTGCAGGAGATGGGGATTGGGGAGCCCCAAGAAGCAGTTCGGAACTGACCCAATACATAATCCCAATATATGGGTATGGATCAATACCTATTAATACCATTTTTAGGGGGATGAACATCCATTTACCACTATTATATGGCTATTATATGGTTATTATATGGCTATTATATGCCCATGACGGATCCATGGTGCTGGTATATATGCTAACATTGATTGGGGGTATATTGATGGGATCCATGGATCCATGGAGCACCATATATAGCAGCACCATGGATCCTATGGGATACATAATCCCAAAACTAATCCCAATATCATAAACATAAAAAACTATAAAAAAAAACTAGCATTTGGGGGTGATCAACAATGGTAAACATAGCACCCATAAAAATGGTGATGGCTTGGGGATGGTTCATGGCATTGGGTTTACCACATTCATGAATACAATCATTGGAATATGTGTAAATATGAGAATCTATGAAATCTATCCGACACCATTCATCAGATATAATGGGGATATACAGTAACTAAAGTATGTATATATACAATATAACATATGAATGAATCATGTTGAATACATCGCGGTAAGATATTATCATCCATGAGTGAGATGATGACTATTGCTAACTATAATGTTAGAAGATGATATGTAGTGGGATAAAATGGTTATGGTTAGTTTCTATGATCATTCTCAGTCTCATATATTCTGATGTAACTACGTATTTCAGACCGTATTTCATGGAGACGACTATATTTCTATGGCATACATCACGGCCCTGAAGACGGTGGTTGATCTCCAATTTCTACATGGGATAGTGTCATAGTGTGGAATAGTCTATTTTCAGACAAACCCATTTGAGGATCCAGACCATTGATGGAGATATATCCTGCCATAGTCGGCTTTTTGTGGGGGGTATGGTGAGGATATAATCAGATCTAAAAGGATATAAATGAGACGTACCCAATTATATAATGGCTGGCGATATTTAAATATAGTTAAGGATTCCGACCATTGATACTACCATAGTATCATGGATTTGTTAAGTGTGCTTGAATATTTGTTGTATATTTAGTGGTAATGATATTGACGATTGATGGTTGATGTTGAAGAATAAGCATGTAACCCACCATATTGGGTATATATTGGGTATGGTATATATTTGATGTGATATTATGGGGTATCGCACCAACAACATTATTTTGGGCATGTCTGAAAATGATGGATTTTCTAGATAGCTATATACATATACATATATATACATATACATATACATATATATATAATTCTGGCATTTTTTTCATAGGGAACGTGATGAGATCCAGCATGGTGACTGAGAAACTTTTGTAAATGAACCGGTCCATTTTGTGGCAGTGAACCATGAAGAGTGGCTTGAAAAGCCGTGTAAAATGAAGGCTTTGAGCATCCAGGACGTTCAAAAATTATGTGGGATCCACAATAATTCACATGACCGATACGATTTGAGGGTGTGGTAAATGATCCCGAACAGGTGCACAATATCATAAGCAATTGGGGATGGGGCATCCCACATTGAAGCACCCTCTGAAACGGGCGTGCATCATGACTCTTGACAGATATGGTGTATGGTCGTTGCCAAAGGTTGCCGTATGAGATTGGCAGATGGTGTCACACACAGTCAAACTGGTTGTAATTGGGTGGTACGATGATGGGCCAGATGAGCAAAGAAGCTTTGGTTGCGACCATTTTTATGGGTGGTTGGAGCACCACTTTTTTGTGATCATATTTGGCCGGCCATCATTGTTTGGGGCTTACACTCACTATGATGCTCAGTGACGTACGAAGCAATGGGTGACTAGAGTGAACATGGTCTGGTTTCGGGTGAAAAAAATCGCAATTTCGCAATAGCCGCTAATCAGCTACCAAATGGGATGATCATTTAAGGTCAGATAAAGTTATGGTCCAGGAGGAGTAGGGAACTATCCTGAAATGTACAGTTTCACACACATGTGGCAAGTGGTTTCCTCATTGTTTCTGCTTTCTTACATCCCCACGCAGCATTTGGGTGGCTCAATCATTATAAAATGTCACACTTATGTAAATGTATACCCTCAGGTCAATCAACATAGCCATGGAAGAAAACCCAAGTATAGTTGAGTTACCTGTTCAACTGGTTATTTTCCACAGCTACCCTCTGGCAAACTAACGTAACTATGGAAAATCACCATTATTAATGGGAAAATCCACTATAAATGGCCATGTTCAATAGCTATGTTAAATTACCAGAGGGTAGTTTACCAGGGGCTGCTTATTTGTCGACCAGGCGCCCGCCATCCTGGAAGTGGGCGCACGTGTGCGGTCCTATTTCCACACCTCCGATGGGAGCCTCGCACCGATCCTCCCGTTGCGGGTGTGTTTCAAGATGGGCTACTAAAGTCTGCTGGTTTATCATGCTTTATCATCATTTTTTCCACATTTATTTCGCATGAAACATGTGATTCTGATAATGTTGGGGCAGAGCTTGGGGTACTTGCTCATTTTCTACAAAGAACATAGATAAGTTTGGGTTATAGGTCTCTATTATGGGGTTATGGATGGTTTTGGGTTATGGGAATATAGACCCCCTATTGTATTGTACCTAAAAATGAGTTATTAATCCCATAATACTCCATAATATTGGGAATATCTCTATGAACCAAGCAGTTTACATAGGTCCCACTTGGGCGCCCCAGGAAGAAATCCGAGAACGTCCGCGAGGGACAGATCTTAGAACTGCGGGTGATGCCAAACAACGGCGCTGCTTGGACTGGGAAGATGGGTCATGGTGATCTAACCATTAAAAAATGGTGATCCTATGTGAATTTTCTATGGGAATATCATGGAAAAGCGTGATTTAAGAATTAAACCTGCTGATTCAATATGATATCATGGGAGCTGACTAGCCTGTGGTAACCTAAGACAGCTATGGAACATCACCATTTTATTGTACAGCGGATAATCATCTACAAGTGGCCCATGTTCCATATTAATTAATCGATTACCAGAGGGTAATTCATTGTGCTCAAAAGGGACTGAATCCACCACCAACAAAAGCATGGAGATATATCGTTCGTTCAGAAAATTGGCTGAAGGGAAGATGCCGCAGGAGATGATTCAAGGATTTTTTGAGGTCCTTTCCCGCGCAAGTCACTGATTTCTCAGGTTCTCATTGATTTTGTAGAAGACACTGAAAAGAAGGCAAATCGTCAGGCAGGAGGCTGTGATTGTGTGGCTGTGGTGCCCTGTAGCAGACAAGTTGGCCATGCAAGACGACATCATGGTACATGGATGGCTTCCGGTCAAGATGTTTCCTTCAACCAATCCACAAATCATCACGGGTTACACTACTGCACACATTCCTACTCCGAACGGCACTTTGAAGATCAACGAATCCTAAATTATATATATATATAATATACATGCATATAAGTTGTTCACTTGAGATTTTCCCCTCAGCCAATGCATTGGTTACTAGTACATCCCAGTTTTTTGCCGGGTACTGTAGAATTCCAACTTTCGACGACATCCACTATTGATCTCCATGGTGACCCCTGGTGGGTTCAGGTCTTGCCCGCATCCGCAGGTGGTCCCCCAAAGCTGGATCTTCAGTGACACGCGTGACAGCGATGTGGTCAGTGCGCTACGGGAGGTGGGAATCCTTGAGGAGCAGCAGGCGAGACGGAGATTTTGGGTGGGATGGGGATGATTTTTTAATTAAAATCACCATGATTTTAACATCTCAATCATTTGTGAATACATGTATATTTTTGGGGGGTGATTTAAGATGATATAAGCATTTGAGGATTTGATCATCAAGATTTGGGGATTCGACCGTATTTTGCCATGGATGACTGAAGCTGCAATTTGCTTGGCAAATAGATGAGACTGGCAGTGAATAACATGAAAAATACATACCAATTGTCCGAACTCTGGCGAAGATTCTGACATGTTCACGTTAAATCATGTTAAATCAAGATTCTTAAATTTCTTAAGGTTAGGAATCCCCCAAATGGTGAGATTACGTATGATTTATGCTTGGGTTTTCCACATGATCACTGAGCTAAACGGCTATGGTGTATCAATGAATCTTATAGACATATATACACCCCTTCAGTTTGATGGAGATCCAGGGCCGTCATCAATCAAACCATCCGACAATGGTGACACACAAATTTCGGGATCCATGGAACTAGGAACATGTTTAGAAGTATCTTCAGAGACAATTTCCTACCATATAACTATATATATATACACGAATAAGTTAAAAGGTGAAACTTAGGCATCCAAAGACATCTTGTGTAAACTATTATGTAGATGGTGTATATTTATATTGTGTTCCTTGGTTTCCGAATCTTTCCGCATCCCTGTATGTATATATACATGATAAGCATAGATATGGAGATGATGCAAACCCTCAATATGGTCACCCAATTAATCATATAAACATATTAAACATCAAATTCAGATAAATCCATAGATCCATTATCTCTGTAGATAAATCTAGTGTTAATGTGGGTAATTCCTGCCATTTAAGCACCATCCCCCAGGAAAATCAGCATGGTAAAGTAGGTGGTATGTTTATACCATTCTCAGATCATGGGTGGTTTATGGCATGGTTTTACCTACATTAAATCCCATCTGGTTGGTGGTTTGGAACATGAATTTTATGTTTCCATTCAGTTGGGAATGTCATCATCCCAAGTGACGCGTTCATATTTTTCAGAGGGGTTGGTCAACCACCAACCAGCCATACATGCCATAGATCCGTATCGCTGTCTGCTTTGCCAAAGAGGCCTTTTGGGCAGCCATTTTCCCCGAGTCGGAGATGCGTGCGGTGGCGCCTGGGCAACTTGAGTTCGCTGACTGTAGATGTAGTTATTATGTTTTTAATCTACAGTGAATTGTATCTACATCTGCAGTTGGTTATAATCTACGTCTACATTAATGTGAATAAAACAATGCCATAAACCATCCCCAGATCATCACCATTGTTATAGGTGGTCCAAACCATTCCCAAATGGGTGGTTTATGGCATTGTTTTACCCACATCTACATTGATAATCAATATGAATTGTATTGAATTGTATCTACAGCGAATATACTATAATGATAGCAATCATTACATTATTAGATTTTTTTTATAGTAGTAGTGGGAATAATATTGATAATAACCATTGGATTGTGATGATAATAGTGGAATATCTATAATAATTGATGAGAATGACAATGACCACTAGTAACCTTGTAGTAATATCCTATACCATTTATGATTGAGCCTATAATAATCCATGTATGATGATATTGTTATGTCTAGGGTGCTTATCATAATCCTGATCGCCTCACAACTAATGTTTATTTTTGTATGTGTGATGATACCCTCTGGTAATCAAACGTGGCTTGCATGAAAATGCCCTGACCAAATGGAGGTTTTTAGTTGCGAATCATCATCATCGAACAAAATGATGATTTTTGTTTGTTCAGGATTCCTGACATAAACCCTTTTATATATGTGGCAATGGGTATGCTCTAGGAGTCTGTCGGATTTGTCCTATATGTGTGATGATAATCATCCTAATAATACTGGAAAAACCAGAAACAAACATAATTAGAATAATAATAATAATGATAATAATAATTACAACAATAATAATTACAATAATAATAATAAGGAGTGATAGCCTCGGGCAAATTATCAGTTTTTTTTGGGGGGAAAATCACAATTTTGAACCAGTCATGGTAAATCATTTTCTTCCATGGGTCATTGGTCATGGCTTCCATAGCATTGTGATATACTTTGACTGGGAAACCACAGCCTGAAATAACACAATACATCATAATACATGATCATACATGTACGTATATAACATTAGCTAATATATATAACATACATGTATACAGTACAAATATCAAAGTTCCCGGAAAATTCATGTCTAACAATATGTACCCAAATATCTGTATCAAAGTCCCCGGAAATTCACCCAAAACATGGAAAGTCCCCATCGCTTCAAAAGTCGCCAAAAAGGAGAAGCTTGTGCCGTGCCAACGTGCAGCGTTGTACCACGTGCGCACCAACGCCACTGCGAGCCATGAGGCAAGGTTAGGAGCGAGCTAAGGAAGCTGAGGTGCTAGTCAGAGTTTCCCAACCATATATGAATCCAAATGATAGTTTATTTATTTATATTGATGTTTATTTTGTTGAATTTAACTAAGTAACTTTAAGTAACTAATAATATCAACTAATTTAGTTTGACTCAGTTGATGATTGGTTCTTTCATGTTCAATGATAAGAAATCTCATTTGGGAGATTAGCACAGATTGGCCATCCCTCGATATGGCTTCCCCATGGTGTTAAAACATGGGGAAACAACTGGAAAAACCACAGACATTGTATCACCCAACTGGTGGTTGGGGGTCAACTGAACTACCCTCCAGAAAAGTAACATGACATCAAATTGTTTGGGTCAAGAGTCGATGATTGTCCTTTTGGAAATCGCCATCGTTTGGAACCAGCTGGAAGATCGGAGCCCTAATTTTGGTCAGGCCGCAATGCCGCAGCTGCGCGAACGCTTTGAGACGCTGGGCTATTCTGATCGGGAACTACAAGCTTGCCGCTTGGCACCAGCCAGAAAATTGCGGTCAATTGATCCCAAGCCATCCCAACTGTGGTGTTTACGGTTCTTGCTCCGGGTTCCATCCTATATATATATCATTTGAAGACAATGACCATCCATGTTTCAATGGGAATCCCAGTCAACCAGATATGATGGTGCCCTCACTAGACAAGCTGAGTCGGCAGCTTTCATCGAACAGTTTGCCAGAGATTTTGGGATGGACACCCATTCGGTTGATGACTTGGGTATGTGTTCGAATTGGGTAGCCTCTGGTAATTTGTTACATAGCTATTGAAAATGGCCCATTGAAATAGTTGATTTACCTATTAATAGCATGGTGATTTTCCAGTTCGTTCTGTTAACGTTTACCAGGCCGGGTAACCAAGTAGATTGATGGTTTAATCATGATCAATCCATGGGCGATCGATGAAATGATCCATGCTGCGATCCCACGTGTATGTCTGTGTCAGTTGAGGGAGCGAATGGCGATGGGTTTGTGTCAAAATGGGGGGATACCCGAAATACCCGAAATTGCTATTTTGATCTGGGCAATGATATATACATCATGGGAGTTACGTGGGTTCCTTATTTTAAGGCAACGGCATGCAACGGCATGCAACGGAATATGAATGATTCCACACTACATAGACACTCTGGTACAGAGCTCTAGTTTTACCGTTTGTCAGTGGTATTTTTCACTGGGTCAAAAAAATGATCCTGACAAGTAGTTTGTCAAAACTGCCTGTGACTTTCCACTTCCAGGTTGTAGATTCAGAGGCGACTAGCCAACAAGTAATAAGTAATTGGTAAATGAGAGAAACAGATTTGTCATAACAAAAACTAAAACTCATCTGGTGTATTTCTGGTGTTATATTTTGTAGATTTGTCATTTCGACTTTCTGCAAACGGCTATTGATGTGCCAAGGTTTGGATGTGATTCAAAACCCATCGATGGATGTTCCAGCTGGCATGACTATGGTCGTATCAGTGTTATCGAAAAAAATCCGCATGTTTGATGTTCATAGAAAGATGATGCTTAAAATCACAAAAAGTTGATGATTACCTTCTACCAAATGATTGTAGACGCTGACATACCCTGACAATACCTGAAAGCCCACGCGCAACTGTAGGCCTTGGCTGGGTTCAGGATTTGGCACCTACGGCTTGGGAGCCTAGTGACCGCCACGTCAATTGGGACGTCACGGCTGGGAATGCTGGTGGTATGCTGGTGGGGGGAAGCATGTCCCACATAACTTAACCTGATTATCATCTTTGTGCATGATTATGAGCCATATACTTGTATATGGCGTTTTTGTTTGGGGGGATGCAAACAATGATGGAATATTGGATGATGTTTCCGAAAATAGATGTTCCAGTTGTCCAACTGTTCTGCCATCTATGTTTGTTTTGTTGTTTTTTTTGGGGACGTAGTTACACACATGTCTCCCCAAAATGAGCCGCGTATAGCCGCATGCAGGTAAACTGGTAGTTACACTGAATGTCCATCAAAATCCGGTATGTGGGTCAATCCACAGCCTCCATTGGACCTTTCGAGGTGGTACACATCCACATCGATCGAGTGGGCACTTTCCTGGAGACCGACGAGTACTACAGGCAAGGGTTTTATTAGATTTAGAGCCTGTAAAGTCATAGATGTTGGATATTTGTTTATAGTATCTTAGTATATCTTAGTATATATTTCCCGAAAAAGATAGAAAAATACAATGCTACCAAAATGTGCAAGTCGCGTTTTTTATGTTTTTGGGGTACATTGAACCACGGGATTTTTCCATGGAAGTATGAGCTTCATGACATTCAAGCCGTTGCTGGACAATCCGCGTTTTTTTTTTGATGATTCATCATGATGAAAAGGATCTGAAATGGTGGACTTTCCATTGTCATACATTATGGTGTTTGGAGGGTGTAACAATAATGATAGCAGTCATATGTAGTAAATAATAGTAGTAATAATATGTTCAACAATAATATGTTATATATATATATATATGTATGTATTATTATATATTAATATGCTAATACATTATATATCATATATATATAGTATATAATAAAGGCATACGGAAGCTTCCTCCCTGACAGGAGCCAGTTTGAAACTGGCACCAGCAGCGGTGCATTGGACAGCCCCTGGTCTGTGCTTGCTGCGAGAAAGTGATGCTAGTAGAGATGATAGATCTTTGTGCATATGAAGTTAGAACTTTCAAAATGTATTACCATTTGGTTATGACTAACATAACCATGGACAATCACCATGCTATTAATAGGTAAACCATCTATAAATGGGCCATTTCCCATGGGTATGTTAAATAACCAGAGGGTATGAGGTAAACCCAATAATGAGCCTGCCATTTGGGGATGATTCTTACATCCCATTTCTGGCAACATTGGGGATGGTTTGTTTTTGGGTTTACCACATTACATGCTTATCCAAACCCCGGGTTCGCCCACACTCAAACAACACATCCAAACAATATGATATACTTATCACTTATCACCAGAGGATGAATGAAAACACTGGCTATACGCAGTGATTTTGACTTTAAGTTTTCAGGATTTAGGGGTTTAGGTTTTAGAGTTTTAGGGTTCGTTGTTTTGGAAAGTGAAAAACTTAAAGCCTATCAAGGGAATTGAGCCTGTCAAAGGATATGCGGGATTCGCCGCGGGCAAACCTAGGGTTTGCAGCGGACAGTCGTTTGATCCGGGCAACATAGAATGGCCAAATTAAATCCGTTACATCCACTGGTGAACCCCTATGGTAAGAACAGCCGTTTTTTCCCCAGGTAAGAACGATATCCGAAAGCGCTGGGAGATGGAGCTCTTTGGTGGTACCTACGAAGACTGCAAACCATTTGAGAGATGTAAGTCTCTTGTCAACCCTGGGGGTGTCAGCGTTTGAAATGTCCATTTGGGGGTGTCTGAAAATACAACAAATAGTGATTAAGAGTGATTAAGAGTGATTAATAGTCATCAATAGTGATTGACAAATGGCTAATAATTGTTTTAGAAGCATGATATGGGGGTGTCTATAAATGGGGGTACCCCAAAATAGATGGTTTATAATGGAAAATCCTATCAACATTGATGATTTGGGGGTACCCCCATTTCAGGAAACCTCCATATGGTATACCCCAAAATGGCAATTTGAATATTATTTGAATGGGGAACATGATGAAATTGCGTTGGAAAAGTGGGGTACCCTATACTGGTTGGTGGTTTGGGACATTTTTTATTTTTTCATATACTGGGAATAATAATCCCAACTGACTATTTTTCAGAGGGGTTGAAACCACCAACCAGGATATCATAGAATTGGATGATGGGAAAATTTACAGGAAACCCCTATATTTGATGGTAAAAACCATGGTTTCCTGTAGATTTTCCCTTAAACCAATCCATTGAGGATATGTTTAGACAATCCCGTGTGTTTTGCGTCGTTCTTTTTAATGAGTCGATGATTGGTGGGTCGCCATTGCTTTGGTTTGCTGTGAAGAGTAAAGCTCACAGCAATGTCAAAGCGACAAATTTGACCAGGATCAAATCAGAAAGATGTGGCATGTCATGCAAACTTCAGGTTCCCTCTGGGGATATGTTCTAGAAATTTAGCATGTAGCTATTGAACATGGCCATGGAAATAGTGAGTTTTCCCATTAAAAATGGTGATTTTCCATAGCTATGTTAGTTTACCAGAGGGTATGTTCTAGAAATTTCTTGAACTTACAGCCGGCTTTTGTTGATGAAATCCACATGTTTCTCGGCTTGCCATTCCTTGAGTTAGCGTTTAAAAAGTGTACACTCCAAAATTTCATTGGTCATCACTGTTGCCCTCTGGTAAACTAAGATAACTATGGAAAATCACCATTTTCAATGGGTAAATCCACTATTTCCATGGCCATGTTCAATAGCTACGTTAAATTACCAGAGGGTAACAGCATGTTCCTCCATTTTCCCTTGTGATCCCTTGCGACCTTGCCACAGAGCCGTTGTGCCCAGGTATGGTGCTCTGGGGGTGATGAACGACTTTCGCGGGGTCACCTCGGCCTATGGCTACGGGGATTCCTATTTGGTCACCTGGCTATTTCGGGCGTGGACCTTGGCTACAAAGCAAAAGTTCATGGATTTCCTGTATGGGTTTTTACATGGTGTTACCATGTTTACATGTAACTTTGTCATTGCCTGTGCTTTGCTACTGTTTTTGATACATTATTTATAAGTTTGTGTGTTTAAATTTGTTGATGTTGTTTGCTCGGCCATACCTGGGCCTTGATTGCAACTGGACACGGAACCTGTTGCTACAGCTAGGTCTTCAATGCGGGCTTACTGGCCAGACATGACATTACAGTATGGATTACTATATAGTAACCCAAAAAGAGAGAAACACGTGATTTATCACTATTTTAGTGTGATTTTACTTTTCTATGTGTGTGTGTGTGTCTTGCTATAGTTAGTGGAGGGTAGGTACATACCAGTTCTTTTAACTGCTGAACCTCTTTTTTTGTATGTCATTGGTGATCTTTCCTTTTTTGCTGGTGAGAGTCCAACTCTAGCCGGTGCAACCTCCAATATTTGCTACATTAATAAAATCCATCAATATATTCATGTAATAATATATACAACAATCCATTGATGAATAAGAATCCATTCATGAATCAAAACCCATCAATTGATAAGCTATTCATGAACCGCAGTCCATTATAATTTAAGACCAAACCACCAGAAATAATAATGTCAAGTCCAACCATTCCTTTTTGCTGGTAAAAGAAAGTGTCCATGTTTGCTGGTTGAAATAACATCGTTTATTCTGATTCATTAATAATATGTGTTTTACTTTGTGCTGCTGAAATTAGAAGACACAAGCTCCATGTTTATCCATTTTTGCTGTTAGAATACAACATCCTCTTTTTTCCTGCCAAAAACGTAGAATGTATAAAATACATCTACATATCATATTTATATATAATATACATAGATAAGTTATATACATATGGCAGTGTGTCAAAACCTTGTGCCCCTTCTGTTCACATCAAAATAGCTGGGATTTATGGATGTTCATCCCCCTACTGTAGAAATGGTATTTTCATAGGTATTGATCCATACCCATATGATTAATTATACATATAGAAATATGTGTATGTATCACCCCCTTAGACCCACCTCGACCCAGGTGCTGAAGGATGTCCGGCTCCGCTGCACCTTCGCCTCCACGGACTCGGGTGGCATCAGCGGACAGCGCCTGGCGGTGCTGGATAAGTACGCGCACGTGCTGAAGGAGTTACCTGGTGTGAAAATCATGCCGGGACTGGAGCTGATTGGTGATGTGGTTTCGTATGTGATTTCCCAGTTGTTTTTTTTTGGTACCCCAAGTTGAATGGATTGTTACGATGATCCCATGTAATTTGAGCATTAAAGGTTGAGAAGGTTCATGAATTTGAAGATGTGACCATATATTTATACAAGCATGAACATGTCCGGATTTAATGGGATATCATAGGATTGAAGAAAATTTGGGGTTGGTGAGGACCATGTGAGCCATGGTCAAAACTGTTTGGCAATGTAAAAATTGCCTAGTTCTGCATGATCAATCCAATAATAGAGATTTATACAGCCATTATGAGGATTCCTACTGTGGGATGACCATACCCAAGATCCCATGTAACTTGGCCACGGCCCAGGTAGATGTGACATATTGAATCCATATAGATCCACAATGTTGGAGATAATAAAGTTGCTAAAATCACATATTTATAGATGATTATAGATTATTATAGATCATTCTAGATTATTATAGATGATTATAGATCATTTTCCTAGCTATAAACCTCTACTCAAAATGTTCGGGGACTTTCAAGGCCACGTTTGATGACAGCAGAGGGTAGATTTGATAATCAGATAATCAGCAGTGGATCATCCATACATAGAAAGGGTACATCGGGATATGGGTTGTTCCAAGAATGGTACGTTTTTGTTGCTCATGTTTTTGCATATTTTCGAAGGGGAAAATGAAGGACATTGGGAGTACACCCTCGGCAAAGCCATATCCCGTATAATTTCTAATCCTGTTTTTTTTGGACATGGTAAGGAACCACTTACTGATTGGGATGCAAAAATATCAGGGGGAAGGGATGGGGTGGGGATGGTGGGGATGGTGTTAATGCCCTCTCTCAGGCAGTGGACAATTCATTTTGCTAGGAAAATATATTTGAAACATGTGCATCTGATATTCCACCACAACTGATGATCAATGTACGTTTGCTTTTCTCAAAAAAAAAACATGAAGGCACTCATTGCACTCGCATGTCGTATCATTCTGTATCGTTTTAAAATTTGAGGATTCTTTCCCAATACTGATGAATTTGTGTTTGTTTACACGAGAAAAAAAGGTTCTGCCGAAGGTGAAATTGACGCTTGCATACTGGGGGATAAGGCAAGCGTTTCTTTGAATTTGTCCTATTGACATTTATATGGATTTGTCTGAACATGATTACTGTAGGGCGCGCCAAAATTGAGCGATGAAATACATGATCCTCCATCTTAGTTTATAATGTGTGTTTTTGTCTTTTATAGTGGGATTGAATGGGATTGAACTCACCATCTTAAGAGAGTTGGACTTTTGGACTTTTGGACATCAAACCCATACACTTACCCTCTGGCAAACTAACATAGCTATTGAAAATGGCCATAGAAATAGTTGATTTTCCCATTAAAAATGGTGATTTTCCAGTTCGCTATGTTAGTCATTACCAGAGGGTAATGGGACATTCCCAGACGGCCCATTAGGGTCACTTGTCACGTCACATCAAAGTGCTCGGCCGAGGTACAGCGATGATGACCCTTGGCCAAAAACGGGCTGGGGTAAAATGCACCAGGGTTTGGTGAAGGAAGGCCTGTTTTTTTCTACAGAAAAATCCAATCAATATCACTTCCATGGATTCCACCACATATTTTTTTTTCAGGTGAGTTAATGTTAGTTTTATATATATAATCCATGGATTTAATCATGTACAATCCATATGGAATTTTCAGCTTGTTGAAGCCTTATGCCAAAATAAATCCCATGGATTTCAGCTTCTCCGGATGCCCAGGAAGTTCGCAGCTTGGTGGATGTGGCCATGTCCAATACCTCAATGCAAGACATGCCCAAGGCGACCGAAACCATCTGAAACGGGCACAGAGATGAGATGAGTCGAAAAATATCCCACTGGAAACTCTGGAACTTACATCAACTTAGTGCTGAAGAACGACTTACATCAACGAAGTGGAGTAGTGGAGTAGTGGAGGTTCAAACCTTTCCCACCGGATTTGTTGAGATTTATGGGTTTCCTTTAGCCAAAAAAAGGCCCAAAAAAGGACGGGGACGCGCCAGGTGCATCCCACTCTGCTGCGAGGAATGAGTGAAGATCCCATGGAAAACTGGCCGCCTGGTTTTTTCAAAACTTTCGCAGCACGGTGGGTCTGAAAAATTCGGAATGCGGAAGCAGTGAACAAACCCATAGGATCCATGTATTAGCTATATATGGTAACATTTACCATCAATATACCCCAAATGTTAGCATATATACCATACATGGATCCTATGGGAAAAAACAGTGTTGTTTTCCATGCTGTACCCTCTGGTAATTTAACATAGCTATAGAAAATCACCATCTTTAATAGGGAAATCAACTATAAATGGGCCATGTTCATCCATTTTCCATAGCTATATTAAATTACCAGAGGGTACCATGTTGTACCACTTTTATTCACTGTTATTCACTGGAATCACCATGAAAAATGCCGTGGGGTATGTCAAAGATGATTTAAACATCAACTAGTGAGCAAACATGCAGTGTCTAGGGTCAATAGATATGGGACCTTTTTTGGATGGCGAAGTTTCACTGTAAAATTGGACCTGCGAAGTGGCCGTGATGTTCCGAGGTTATGATATTTATATACTATAGATGGTGAAGGGCTCATATCTATGCTCTTGCTGTAGGTGAACTATGGTGAACTCGCAGATTTCAACCTGCTTGCTGGCTTGAATTAGCATTTTCATCCATTTTCCCATTGCTACACCATGGAAGAAGTTCGTTGAGCCAGGAATAGCCAGGAATAGCCAGGAGCCACCGAGGATCACCGTGGGCTTCCCTCACTTGGCGCAAAAGAAGGGGCGGCTCTTCTTTGAGGCGCGACCGCGGGCCGGTGTGGACTTTCGGGGCCCTGGGTAAAGCTGATGGGAATAGATAATGACAGTTAGTGTTTTGGGGTCTATTAAATGTTTGCGATAAAGGATGGACGTTTTTTCAATGCCCAGTACGTTTATCGCCCAGTACTTGTTTGCAGCGGTGCAGGACTCACCATGAAACCTTGGATTTGATCAACGATACTAAAAAAAACCAGTGGTTCTTGCTGCCCTCCAGGTTTTGGATACTATTTATATAAATCCATTTAGCCTGGATCTTAGTGGTCAACTCATTTACAGTTCCATGAACCCCTGGGCATCCCCCTTAACTACAGATATAACCCATATAAGCCCCATAAACCATCATAAACCCTATAGTTATTGGTGCATGTTTCTCCAAGACAAAGCCCATAATTTGCTTTCTCCACCTACCTTGTGCCCTCAGCGCTCAAAAGGTGGAACTCTATTCGACCTGTTCATCTCCACAAGTAGGATTGCTGAGTTCGGACTTCGTGGCCGCACCTCGCAACAGCAGCTTTTTGGGAGGCCAGGGCACCATGGTGAAGCAATGTCTAGTCATCCCCAAATATAGATGAACAAGTTATTAAAAAAACGCATCATTTTTGGCTGGATTTACTTGTCCATCTATTTGGTGATAACTATAAACTGGGTTTTACATTTACATGGATGTACCCCCAATTTTGATTGGTTTCATTCCCATGAAAAACCAACGGTTCCTGCCCATTCAACGGTAAGTTTCGTCGAGGCGTGGGTGATGACGAAGATGGCTGGGCGGCAGATGGCCAGCATGCCATCCTTTGGCACAAAGGCGCAGGGGGTTGTTTCCCCATCAAGGGAATTGTTGAATTGTTCATCAGTCATCATCAGTCCATTTTTGTAGGGACTTATACAGCCATTTAATAAATAATAAGGATAAGGATTCTCAATATGAGACGGATGGCCATAGCTCATATATAATATATAGTCATATACCATGTTTGGACTATGGCACACTATGTTTGAACATGGCACATGTAATGTACTGTATTGGCTTTGTCCTTAAAGATGCGGGGATGCCCCACTTTGAGGCAAGGCTCATTAGTTGATGACCATAAAATGCTTGGCATTAGTGGTTGATGTTCAAAAGAAAAATGGAAGTATGTTGGCCCATTGGGGATCACCAAAACGCAGTTTATATGGGGCGGTGTCAGACGCGATGTTTGTTCTTTGGGCCCAAGGCGAACGCTTGCCCTTCAACTCCCTTTGGCCTTCGGAGAATGGGAACCTCACTGTTTCCTGGAGCGGAGGGGACTGAAGCAGCTAGTGGGATCTCTAAAATGAGAGATTTCTAGATATTTCTGTGGTGATTTGTTGACCAGCTTAGGTGATTGAAGTCTCAGGACCATTGTTGGACACTGTTTGATGTTTGGACAGACTGATATACTGGCAGTTGTTTTGTATCTATCAGTTGGTATCATTGAGATCCATTCCTAGGGTTGTTCTAAGCCTCCCCAGGCTGCCGCTATGTTAGTTTGATGGGGAGGATCGGTGTTGCCCTTTTCAGGAGGCTTTCCTGATCCACATCTGTGCACATGCAAAGCTCTGAGACCACGACATTTTGGAAAGGCTGTGTTTAGTAGAAAACGGTCCAACACATCGAATTTTACGTGTTTTTTTTTAAGAAAAGACTTTACCAGCCTCACCATCCTGTAACATCCTGTACCATCCCCTTCCCATTGTTTCAACAAGTTTCTGCCAAGTCTGATGTGGTGATTGGCGTGGCTGTTGACTTCGACAAGCGGCAGATCTTCTTTGCCACGAGCCTTGGATGTCATGGTCTGAGCAAATGGACAGATGGGAGGAGCTGGAGTTCCCCAGCGCTTCTGTGACAATGGGATTTTTCATTTTTTTCTCCACCCAACATCATGTGGTAAAGCCTACTATAAATCATCCCCGAATGATCCAACGCTATCATTATATCATTGGGGTTTGCTAGAAACATTACCATCTGGTTATTTAAAATAGCCATGGAAAATCACTATTTTTAATAGGTAAACCATCTATAAATGGGCCATGTTCCATGGCTATGTTAAATAACCAGAGGGTAATATGAATAGCCAAAATGGTCATGCTACTCCATTCCCCACACGTCCATCCTGTGGATTTCTTAAGGAATGGAGAATGGAGAAGCAAGCCTGACTTCACGGAACCTGGCAGCTGGGGGGGATAAGATGTCCAATGAGCCAAAGCCAATCATAAACCCTGGATCCACTTGGGCTATACGATGGTATACTTCGTATCAACAATTGTGTGAAATTGTCATATTATAACATATTATAACATCATATAATATGATATAATTATACAATGTATAATTATTCATACAATTTTATTGAATTTTATATACACATATTACAGTACATAAATTGGGTATATCATTAGCACTGGGATGATGTTGATTATGACCCCGACTCCTGATAGCAACGCGTTGCCTCAGAGGACTGTAGAGTTATCCTGGTTCCAAAGACCTCATATTACCTCACTGTCCCCTGTTGGGATACCGCAATAACCGATACCGCCAGCTGCGTCAGGAGGCCCATTTGCGCAAAAACCTCTCGCTGTATCCCGCCTTGTCCGTGAAAGGCCGTGCAGGCGTTTCACGCGCTGGGAAGCGGAAGGGTGGAAGGGTGGTTTGAAGATCTCATATTTTTGGCGTAAATTCTTCGTGAATTCTTTAGGGATTCGTCACTACCAAGAAAATTTGGTTAAACGGTTGTTTGGGGTTGCAGCGTGTGGAAATCAGGATGGGCTGAATCTTAACATGGCTTGAGGAATTCACAAAATGGACCTAATGATTAGTGCAACTAGTGGATCCCTTTAATTCTTATTGGCGATGAGGAATGCAAAAAAGGCGTTAGATTGCTGCGATTCCTCCTTTCCCGGAGCCCTTTATGTTCACGCAGCGACCGGTAGAAACGAGTCGAGTCCGTGGCAATGTCGCCCAGATGGGACCCAGTGCTGGGGCTGCTGTGCATGCTGGGCGGCTCCCTTTGCTTCTCCTTGATGGCTCTGGTGGCAGCAGAACTGGGCTCCGGCCGGGCGACGCCTCATCATAAGTTTGAGCCATTTGAGTGGCTGGGCGCTGGTTCAGGATTTTATAGTTATAGAGTTATAGATAGGATAGGATTGGATAGAAGGCCAGGTAAGTTAAATAGATAGACAATGATAGATAGATAGAGACAGAGAGAGAGAGAGAGATCGAGATAGATAGAAAGAGAGAGAAAGAGAGAGAAAGAGAGAGAAAGAGAGAGAAAGAGAGAGAAAGATTGGAACGATTAGAAAGATTAGAAAGATTAGAAAGATTAAATGGTTTTGATAGATTTGATAGATTCAATAGTCATTGGATTAGATTCGATTCGATCTGATAGATAAGATTAGATAGGTAAGATTAGATAATTGGATTAGATTAAATTGATTAGACTAGATAGATTAGATTAGATAGATTAGATTAGATAGGTTAGATTAGATAGATAAGATTAGATAGATAAGATTAGATAGATTTGATTTTATTTGATTTGATTTGCTAGGTTATAATTGATAGATTTGATTATATGGGTTAGAAGAGATAGACTAGATTAGATTATTAATAGATGGATTTGATTTGATTTGATAGATTAAATTGATAGATTGGATTAGATTAGATTAGATTAGGTAGGTTTGATTGGATTTGATTGGATTTGATAGATTAGATTAGATAAATTAGACTGGTAAGATTTGATTAGATGAGATTAGATTGGATTAGATTAGATAGAAATAGATAGATTAGACTAGACTAGACTAGAATAGATAGATAGTCATGACTGACACGTTACTGTATATTATATTATAGGTGCTTAACTCTTCCCAAGCTTTCTTCAAACATGAACAAACAGTTTTTTTGGACGAGGAGTCTAAGTTAACAACATATGTATATATGACTAGCGACTTGTCGCAACAATGATTTCTGAGAGTGAACCATGGATGCCGTTGAATTTTACATTTCAAGAAACTTGCCGAGTATTGATTGTGATGGATCCCGTGATCTCATCTGGCGTGCTGATTGTTGGCATTGGGCTTGGTTTATCATCCCAGCGTTACTACCAGAAGCCAGAAGTACCAGGGACTGTGACTTGTCATTGCGAGTGTGGGGGAGAGCGATCAGTGGATACAGGAACTCCATTTCGAGATTTATTCCTTGCTATTATCTTCGGTTTGGTTCTTGGATCAACTGGGGTATTAGCGATCAAATACTGGTGGTCCCTTGTGCTGTCTCAGCCACACACTCCTTCTCCTTCAAAAGGCAAAGGAAGAAAAGGGGTTTTTGGATCAACCTTGGCCCTCAGTATTCGTGAAGGATGAGCGAAGGAGACATCTATTTCCTAGACTATGGTGAGCAGGGTCCCATCTATCACGCGCGACTGCTAGCAGCCCACATTCAGGGGCATCTGTGGGTGGTGGTGACACCGGATGAGGATATATATGAAGAGCTTCTTCATGAATCTAACCGAGACCTAGTTGCTATTTACCGCGGCAATGGGGGATTGGGAGCAGCTGTTCCAGCAGAGCTGGATCCGAACAGGATCTATGGTTTTCGGCCTCTGACTGCCATCAGGTACCAAGAGCTGATGACTGAGGCTCGAGAGTACGCAGCTTCGCTACGGGTTCAGTTTGGGTTACCTCCTCCTGGACTAGGCGCAGTTGCTGCTGCGGCTGGTCTGACACCAGAAGCAGCCGCTGCTCCCCTGGATCTAGTGTGGGTTGCGGTTGAGGATGACTGTGGCTACATGCGTGGGGATGTGGTGGTAGACATTGGGGAGACCATGCCTCAAGGATCTTTGACTTTGGGCACCAACAAGGCTTTGATTCAAAAAGACTCTGGAGTTATTTGTGCCAAGTTGATAGCTCGTTCCAAGATTCACACTATGGAGGTCCAAGATCTGCGTGTTCTCCCTCTTACCCTAGATGAACAGAAATCAAGAAAGATTGACTTCTCCAAAGCAGTAGGAAAGATGAAGCAGGTCGACATGCCTGGAGGAGGTCTTCAGCTGGATGGCCCCCCCTCATCCTTATCAGTGCTGCGAGGAATGGTGTCCCGAGGACTGACAGTGACAGATCACGAGCACTGGGTGAGGACTCACGATGCCTTGAAGGGGGATAGATCTATCTATGAGATGGAGGTCATCACAAGGGCTATAGAGGCTTTTTGCATGGTTGACCAAGTCAATGTTCCAAACCTCAAAGGATGTGAGCTCCTGCTGCGGCGATGGCAGTTGATCCGCGAGGCTCACCGGCTGAGCCCTGGGTCGCCAGATTACTCCAGCGCCGACATCTTTATGGGGTGGGAATACAGAAGAGGAGAAGGGGTCAATCCAGCCTTGGCAAAGTTCGTTGCTGGGGAGCTCAGGGATCAGGCCCAGATTGCGAAGGAGTCAAGAAAGGCAAGGGAGGAGATGGCATCTCGAAAAAAGCCAGGCGGCCGAGGACAACCGGCCGCGTCGGACAAGTAGAATCTTGGCCGTGTCCAGTGCCTTGCACCGAGCACTGGAGGATTTTGAGGTGCAATTTTTTCTGGTGACTGGATTGACAACACTATCCACGAGCACTTGGAATCTCTCACCTGCAGGTGAGTGCTTGCGAATTTGTTTCTTGATTTTGGGTAGCAGCTACAGTGAGCAGCATGGAGGAGAAATGGCGAGATCTTCTACCCCTGCCATTGTTGCAACCAGATGCATGGGAGGAAGACTTCAAGTTTCCTGATAGGGGGTCCCTATCGACTGGAGCCTATCGTCGTCAGACCCGACGGAGGGAGAACCTAGCTCGGGCCAATGCGGTGATTGAAGCAGTCAATAGTCTTGGAGGTTTTAAATCTGCCAAGCAAGGTGCACCAACCATGGTACAGCAGGAATCCTTGAGATCTATTCTCCACTCTGTTGCCCAAAAGCCGAGGTCCAATTCACATTTTTCTACGCGTGAGGCCGTGAGTGAGCTTCTGCATACCAAGGGATTCTCTAACTACGTGGAGGAGAATTCCCCTGGGACGACCGTTAGGCCATACCAACGTGATCTCGTCTCGTTGCCCGAGCCGGGGGCCTCCACAATGGACGCCCTGGACTTGATTGATGAGTTCGGGAAGGGAATTCTTCAGGCCTATGACACAGCGATGCTTCGGGACTTCAAAAATGAACTTTCCGAAGAGCATTTAGGTGAGAGTGCGTCATACATGGATGTGAGACTTAGAGGTTCAGAAGGGCTCTATCAACAATTTATTCTGGATCTTTGGGAGCGGGGAATGTTGGACTTTCAAGATACCATTTCATCAACAGTCACACCATTCTTCGTTGCCAAGAAGTCTGGAAAGCTCAGGCTAGTACTAGATTGTCGTTCCGCAAATGCGCATTTTAAGCCACCTCCTGATGTTGCAATTCCTGCTGGTTATTCGTTTTCCCAGATTGAGTTAGGCCCCAGGGATGAGATGTACATTGCACAGACGGATATCAGGGACTATTTCTACGCTATTGGACTGCCTGTGTATCTTCGAAATTTTTTTGCATTTCCCAGAATTGACCTTAAAAAGATTCTTCCTCAACACCCTCTTTGTCTGAAACATCAAGGTGATTCACTGTTTCTTCATCCGGTATTGACAGTGGTTCCAATGGGTTGGTCATGGGTCATGTTTATAGCACAAAGGGTACACCAACACCAAGCTATGATTGCGGCGGAGGTCGACAGCTCTCGCGTGCTGGTCGATGGCCGGCCTGCCCCTGCGCTTTCGGACGGCCCAGTGTTGGTTCCATATGCAGACAACCTGAATATCATTGGCACCAATGTGAGTGAAGTCCAGAAATTGAAGAACAAGATTGTCAATCACCTTCAGACGTTGGGGTTTCGTATTCATGAAGAACAAGATGCTTTGAACTATGCTGAATCTTTGGGTTTTTTCTTGGATGGCAAACTAGGAAGAGTATATCCTCGTCCCAACAAACTCAAGAAGGTTCAAGTTGTTTTGGATTGGCTGGCTACATCTCCTAGGGTTTCGGGTAGAATGATCGAAAGAGCTATAGGGCATTGCATTCACTTTAGCATGCTACGTCGAGAACTACTCAGTGTCTTTCGAGCTGTGTATGATTTTAAAGTCGTCCACTATGAAGAGAGAGTCAAACTTTGGAGCACAGCAGCTACAGAATTTGCAATGATGTCAGCTCTACTCGACATTTGCTATGCGGACCTGCGCAGACCCTGGTCGCAGGAAATCACAGCGTCAGATGCGAGTCTCTCCGGCACCGGAGTCTGCGGCACTTGCTGGAGCCACGACGATGTGGCGCAGGTGGGGAGACAAAGGGAGTTGTGGAGATTCAGGGCAGAAGATGCTGCCTCAAAAGCACGTGATCATGTCAGAGGCCTTGACCCTTTTGTGGATGTCAATACGGTTTTGGAAGAGAGAGTCATGAAACAGAAAGTAGACATTTTTCAGCTCAATTTAGATTTTCAAGAAATTTCAAGAGATCTTTTGAGGGAGGAAGACTGGAAGGTTTTATTTTCTACACGCATGACACTACCTGAGCATATTACTCTTTTGGAAGGGCGTGGTATTGTTCAAGCACTGAGACACAAAGCGCGCAGTTCCAATCACTTTCACAAGAGGCATGTACACTTGAATGACAATCTTGGAATGGTGCTCTCTTTTGACAGGGGTAGGGCAAAAAATAAAGCGTTACTTTTTCAGTGTCGTAGAGGTGCTGCACATGCCATAGCAACTGACAGTGAGTATCACTTCAGATGGATTCCATCAGAGTTCAATATTGCAGATAAACCTTCTCGTCTTCTTGAACCTTGTAGCCATGCCAGCAAGTCCCAGCAGAAAAAGAACTTCCACAAGATCATCTATCCAGGCAGAGAAGAAGAAAAGCCCTCACGTGAGAAACACCGTGGTTGCCATTTTGAAGGCAACCACCAAGCCGTATGCCGGCCTCAAAAAGTCTCCAAAGCCTGCAGACATCAGGAAAAGAATTTCAGATCCAACAGAGCAAGGTCGCAGAACCAAGCGGCAAAAACTGATGTTGGAGCACGATGCAAGACCCCGGGTGCCCACACAGACCTTTTTGGAGCAGGCAGCTGTCTCGTGCCGAACTGCGGCCGATTACAAGTTTCGGATGGGAATCTTTCAAACTTTCTGTCGCCTACACAAGCTGTCCGTGCTGAATCTGGTGCGGTTGGACAATGCCCTTACCATTTTCCTGCAGCAATGCTTCAACGACGGGATGGACTTGAACGAGGCAACCAAATTCTTGGCAGCAGTCCTCGATTCTCGGCCAGAGGCAGCTCCCAGACATTGCCTGCCAAGGACAAGAAGGTCTCTACAAGGGTGGAAAAACTTGGATCCAGGCCGGAGTCGGCCACCCATGCCTTGGCCGGTGATTGCCAGAATGGTCCAAGATATGCTGAAGAACAATTTGGTGGTCCCAGCTATGATGGTCCTCACCATGTTTGTCACCTACTGCCGACCGATCGAAGTGATGAAGCTTCACACCACCGATCTGGTGTCGACCAAACAGTTAGGCAACATGCGGTCTCTCAATCTGAACACCTCAGAAGAGATGGAGACATCAAAGATGGGAAAGCAGGACGAAACTATGCTTCTGGACAGTCAGGAGCTTCCTTGGCTGGGTCATCAGCTTCAGCTCTACCTCAGAAAGAAGGTCAGAAGTGGAGCAAAAATGTTCCCCATAGAATACTTCACCTTCCTGAAAAGCTGGAAGTCAACGCTGCGGAACATAGGACTGCCCGAGGATTGGGCTGTTCCCTACCAGTTAAGGCACTCCGGGGCTTCATGGGATCGGTTCAAAAAGTTCAGAACTCAGTTGGAGGTGAAAATGAGAGGCAGATGGGCTGCAGACAGCTCCATGGCAAGATACGAAAAGCATGCAATGCTATCTCAACGGTTCGAGCAGCTCCCGGTGGGCCTGAGAAACGAATGCCTGTGGGCTGTCAAGAACATCAAGAATCTGGTCCAAAAAAGTTTGGGGCGATGACAGCCTCAACTAAGGTATGTCTCGAGATTTTTTCTGGCACCTCTCGAGTGGCTAAAGCATTGGCTGCGAAAGGGTTTGCATCAGAAGCTTGGGACATTCTCTTTGGATCAGCTTGTGATATCTCCGATGTCAACGTTTTGAATTCAATCCTTGATAGAGTCTCAGCTGGAAAAATTCTGTACATCCACATTGGGTTGCCATGGCAGTCATGGTCACGGGCACGGCGAAATGATGGCCGTGGACCTGGCCCATTAAGGGATGACAACAAGTTTTTGATGGGCCTGCCTAATTTGTCAAGCAAAGATAGGCAGAAAGTTTTAGTCGGCAATTTGTTGTTGCGTCATTCCATTCGCATTATCCGAGCTTGCCAACAGAATGGGGTCCCTTGGTCTCTGGAAAACCCCATGACTAGTCGTGTTTGGAAAGTCAGAATGGTGAAGCAGCTCAAGAACTGTCATTTTCAACGCACAGACTTCTGTCAATGGGGTCTACCATGGAGAAAATCCACTTATTTTTTGCTCTCAGATGCCTTGCAGCCTCAGTTTCGCGTGTGTTCCGGCACACACAACCGTTGTTCACAGTCGCTGGCGCCTCATGTGTTGCTTCAAGGGACTCAGAACGGACAGTTTCTCTCAAAGATTGCAGAACCTTACCCTTTTCCGCTTGTGAATGCTCTAGTCAAAGCAATCTCCATAGCAATTACATAGCAGACTCCGAAGTCGGGGATGGTGTGTGATACATTCATGCCTTTGCTGTGGTCGAAATTTCCTTGTCGGAACCTCCGACACATAGTCCTCTTGGGACAGCACTCGTCATGACTCAGCTGACTTTTGACAAAAAGGCTGGTGGTCTGCTGGCGCATTGTGAATGAGAAGGTTGATCATGACTAGCGACTTGTCGCAACAATGATTTCTGAGAGTGAACCATGGATGCCGTTGAATTTTACATTTCAAGAAACTTGCCGAGTCCATCCACATCCCCTGCCACCACCCGTGGTGTGTGATACATTCATGCCTTTGCTGTGGTCGAAATTTCCTTGTCGGAACCTCCGACACATAGTCCTCTTGGGACAGCACTCGTCATGACTCAGCTGACTTTTGACAAAAAGGCTGGTGGTCTGCTGGCGCATTGTGAATGAGAAGGTTGATCATATATATATATATTTATATTTATACATGCATCTATACAATTATATACATATATTAACTATTTGCAGTACATAAGTGAATTGTTGATTCACAGAATTGGATGATGGAAAAAATAAAATACCGGAAACCTCTATATTTGATGACAACAAATCCATGGGTTTCTGGTTTTCAGATTTTCCCTTAAATCCATTGATTGATGGGTTCATGAGTAGCTCAGCAGGTTGGTCTTTTGGAGATCCCTCTTCATGCTGATTATCACCATGAGCAGCTCACTGATGAAGCTCGCAGCGGACATCCTTCGCGGGGTTTGTGAATTTTCCATGCCTTCCACGAGGGTGGGGCCTTAGCTAAGTTGCCTTCAAAGTGACTTAACAATGGTTTATGGTGTATATATATATAACTATAGTTAAATGGGGTTTACAAACCAACTTATAGGGCACCATCCCATATATGAAGGTTTCCATCAATGGGGGGTACCCCAATAGCTTGATTGTTTATAGTGGAAAATCCTATTAAAATGGCTGATTTAGAGGGGTGCTCCCATTTATGGATTGCCTCATATATAGCTACGACTATCAGAGTTGTTCCAGCCTATTTGATCTCTTCATTTCACCGATTTACCTCCCAGTATTTGGGGTGCTGGGAGCACCCCTGACTGGAGGATGAGCCTACAGCACTGGATTGTTACACATTGTTGTCATCTACACACCATGAGGTTCTTTGATTGAGTCGTTGCACATCACGCCATACGCTCCATGTATTTCACATATATATTAGAATATATTAGAGACTATTAGAGCATGTGGGTCATGTTGGGGCTACATGTTGTTCAAACACATACATGGAGCAGCTGGGAAACGCAGCTGCATCTCATTGGGATACACCAACCATCATCAACCATAGCCCATAGCGAGATTTTGACGTCTTCGCCAGGAAAGGGGTTGCACCCTTGGGCCCCAAAGTCACCAGTACCAGACTCATTTTGATCTTCCGCGGCCTCTGTGGTGTTGGTTTCATGGCCACCTACTACTACTCCCTGGCGGTGCTTCCCATGTCCGACGCGGTGGTTCTGACCTACACCAGCCCGGTGTTGACGGCCCTGGCTGCCACCCTCTTCCTGGGAGAGACCTGGCATAGCTTGGACTTTTTGGGCAGCGCCTTGTGCCTCACAGGCTGGGTGCTGCTGCTTGGATTTGTCGTTTCATGTGTTGAACATGTCCAACCACCTGGGACGGTCATATCCTGTAACCAATGATACCAATGTATGCGGGATTGACAGCACCAATCACTGATATTTTTCGACATCTCCAAGCAGAGGCAACTTTTTGTTCATCCCTGCCCTGCCATGGGTACCACAGAATTGGCTACAAAGGGCTTTAGGGACTTTAGGGTCGTTCAGGTTCGTACCAAACCAAGCAACAATGGCAATTTCTTCTGCTACAAACTGTCCATTGTTTTCCATTCCTTTTCGGTTTAGAGAAATCAATGAAGTCCCCATCGAACGGACCCAACAGACCTTACAGACCTCCTAATGGACCTTTACACCGCCAGGTGTGATGATGATCGGCAAACCACCAATCCTTTTCCACCTCTTGGGACAAAAAGATGAAGCTGAGCTGTCGCCACTGGGTTTGTTAGCTGCGAGCACTGCAGCATTGTGCGCCACTTGCGTGTATTTGATCATTCGCATCTTGAAAGACAGGCAGATGAAGGATGGGATGTGTACTTACAGCTGGGAGATGTCCTGATAAATGCAACATACATTATACAGATACATGACATGTCATGTGTAGATTTATAACATGTTTGCCACGTGACTTACCCTGCATCTATGCATCTTCATGTACATCCAAGTTCAGTTCTCTCCAGCTTCATGGTGCTTTAACGAATGCCATGGTAAGTCACCGCTTGCCATCCGTTGGGCCTATGTCCTGACGAATGGTGATTACATAATCAAAACAATATCGAAACAATATCCCATCCATATTTTACTTACCATTACTTACATGATATTTACAACATCCATTTCCAGCCCTTCACTACACCCCAGCTGTCCCACAGTGATCATAAAACCACAACTCATAAGTAGCCATTCATCTCGGATAGATTTACCGTTTGAATTTACCACATTTAACATCAGATATCATCAGATGGATTATATAGTCTTAGCCCAATTCCAAGCCCAACATCTGGGGATGGGTCCGTTTCCCCATGGCTGTGGTATGCCCCCAAAGATGATGATTTTAATCGGGAAAAAGTGATGATCATCATTGATCATTCGTAAAAAATTAGTGGTTACATCATTTTTCACACCAAGTCTCATGATGTCCCATGTTGCAGAAATCATCAGAAATTGGGGGTACACAATGTTCAGACAACCCACAAACGAGCCATTTTTTGCAGGGTAAATTATAACGACCTCACTGTTCTCCCACACTATAATCATAGTTAGTAAGGGGAACCATCCCCAAATGGCCCAACAATTCAGGTTAGTGAATTTCGTTGTAATTTGCCCAGATTGCAGGGACGTTCATTCCCTGGTCTTCGTGAATTACTTGGCCCTGGCCGCCGTGGTGACGTCGCCCTTGCTGGGCTTGGCCTTTGAGGAGCGCTGGCTGCGGAGGCCAAGCCCCTGGGCCCTGACGCTGCTGTTCCTGTTGGCCTCATTGGCATCGCTGGGGGAGACGCTGCTGGCGGTGGGGCTCAAGATGGAGACGGCCGCCAAGGTGGGAAGGGTGAGAAAGGGAAGCAGAGAGAAATATATGGGGATACGAAAATGATGGAAAATGGATGAAAAAGGTGGAGGATGTCATATTAGTCATTCATATATATAGAATCATATATACGTATATATATATATACATACAATGATTTAAAGTGATTATATTTGTGCTGAAGGACATGTTGTAGCATGAAGTTGGCTCCCATTTTGTAGAGGATGGTATGACTTGGGATCGAAGTACCCTATGGATGCATGGCTGGTCAAGGGGATGACCATGTTTTCAGTCTTCGGAAATCTGTGGCAGCACTCTGTGGAAATCTGCTGTTTATTCTGTGTGTTTCTGAAAATCTGAAACTCAAATAATTTACCTGGAGATCAAAAAGGAATCAAACACCTCAGTCACCTCAGCTTCAGTGACCGGCTGAGGCCACGTCCATGAACTACCTGCAGGTGACCGGGCATGGCTGTCATGGTCGCAATCCTTTTTCGGGGATGCCCATTATCTCCATCAGTTGATCAAATCACAAATCCACTCTATGTTCTCCGAAAAATCCCTGACATGTCAATACAACCCCCCATGTTTTATTGTCAAAAAACATGTCTAATTGTTGCTTCATCTGTTTCCATTTTCAAACAAATCCACAATTAAAAATATCGTGAATGTTTGTTGCTTTTTCATTTTCACATTTCCAGATCGTGTGTCTTCAAGTGTAGCTATTATATACTATTAACCAATATTTAACATATAACTGGTTGGTGGTTTCAACCATTTTTTATTTCCCATAATATATGGGATAATCCTTCATTTTGTTCCAAAATTGTAATAGGTGCTTCTCAGAGTTGTCCACATGTTTTTCTCCAAGTTGACCACCTGTTTTCCCAAACAACAGGCATTTGCTTCCCCATGTTCCAGTGTTGTCCCGCACGTATTCACCCTCGGCTATATCAATATCCCATCAAATTTTCCTGAAAAAAAGTGACAATTATAGCCATAATGTCCACATTTGTTCTGCAAAATGTGGAGTCTACAGGGTTCACTGGCCATTATCCAACAATAGGTAGATTGTGATAATCTATAGATTCTAAGTATTTACCATTGTTAACCATTATTTGAGATATATTATATTGACTAATTTCAACAAGACCATTGTTAGATATGATTTGAGTATTAGTGACTATCATGATAACCATATTTAATGATATTACGTATTACTAACCTTTAACCATTATGTATTACTAACATTTACTAATTACTAACACGTCTTAAAGTGGAATTATTAACCATTAACCATTAACCATTGTATATCATTAGGCAAAACATTAACATTCATATTTTATTAAGTATTTATATAATATTAACCAACATTAACCATTAACATTAATATTAACCACTAATATTAACCGTTAATATTACCCATTAATTTTATGTATAACTAACCATTAACCATGAATCTTAGCAAGGTGATTCTTACATTAATATTGATATGAAGATTAATTCCCATTTTTTCTGATTTTTCAAGATGGTTAAAACTGCGAATTGCATATTCCCTATTTAGCATTCATGTCATGACTTTGCAATTGTCATTTCAATCAATGGGCATTTCACCATAGCCCTTTTTCCAAGCTCAAAGATCGGTCGGAAGACCGGTGAGTCCAACGTGAAGGACTTTGGAAAGAGAGTTAAAAGCGCAGGACCACTTGTCTGACCGTGGAGGACTTTGTGTGTCTAACGCAAGGAGTTTGAGGTGTGGACTAGTACCTGGCTTTTCTGGCCGCAGACGTGTCAGGACTGTCAGTGCTAGTACCCCCGATAATATTACCCGGGTGAACCTGTCGCGAACAGGTTATGAGCCCAACGCATGGGGACTCTGCTGAAATGATGCTCAGAAGAAGAAGGTCTGAGCCTGATGATGAAGAGTCAAAGAAAGACCAAACAGCGTCAAGCACCCGGGCAAGCGCGAGGAACCCAGGGGCAGAGATGGCTCTAGTGGCAGTGGATAGGGAAAGGGTTGGAAAGCCTTCACCAAATGGTCCTGTTGGGGAAGATATGAAAACCCCCTTGCCAATAGAAGACTTTCCAGCAGAACCTGTAGGATCCCCTAAGGCCCTAGGACCTAGGAACCTCCAGCCACTGTTCAATGAAGCTCAGCTAAAGAAGGCTGAGGAGCTCAGGTTGAGTGCACCACTTTTGCAGGGCCCAAGCCCCACCGCAGTAAGCCAGTCCACCGGCGGATGGGATGGGGGTTTGGCGGCAGGGAAGGTGGGAATGGGGAAGGAAGCTGACATGTCAGAGGGACCATCAAAGAAGGGTCCGGAAGTCTTGATGATGTCACCAATGGGATATCCCTTAGCACCTCAACATGGTTATGGATACGTGCCACACCACACACAACAAGGAATGTTTGATGAGATGATGTGGCAGTTTCGACAAGAAATGGGACAAATGTCAAAGTCTCTCACCCAGCTTCAAGAAGAAAATTTGAGGTTGAGGATTCAGCTTATGGAAGAAAGAGAGACTAGATACACAACACCTCCCGATGTCACTCCTGCTGAAGGTCTCCGTGACAGCGCCCGCCGTCAGAAGGTTTCAGGAAAGAAGCCCAAGTCCAAAGGTGTAGAAGCCAAGCAGGAAGACTTTGAAGCTTCGAAGCCAAAGGAGGCTGCAGGTCGAGGAGAACAGGAGGCTGAGACCCCCAAAGCAGAGGAGGAAGTGATTGGAAGGAAGCTTGAAGAAGTTTCTAAGGAGGATGGTCCAGCTGGACAGCAAGAGTCCAGTGAGGAGAGTCAATCGATTCAAGAAGAGGAGTCGGAAGATTCAGTGAATGTGAAAGATCACAAAGGAAGATCAAAAAAGGAGGACACCACAGTGGACGTGATGCTCAAGTTGATGCAAGGGATGCAATCGCTGCAACAACAGCTCTTGGATCGAGAGACGATCAGGGGCCGACGGCTAACAGAGGACGATGAAGAGGAGCATGTGAGGAGCAGTGTAGAGCTGCACAAACTGCCGGAGTGGACAGCTGAGAATGCTCCGGTGGACTTACAGGACTGGTTGCTTCTCATCCATGCACAGATGTCGGATCTCACTACCAGCAGTTCAGAATGGTGGGATCTAGTGGTTGAGACTGCGAAGGACTGGTACCACAAACACCAAGCCATGAAGCCCATCGACAAGCTGAAGCATGAAGTCAGGGCACCACCGCAACTACAGCAGAAGAAATGGAGAAGGTTGGGGAAGAGAGGAAGCAGTTTGCTTCTTCAGGCCTTGCCCAGTAGTCAGCGTGATGACATTGTGGCAGGGAAAGACCTTTCAGTGTTGGCGATTTTGGCAAAACTCCTCAACAACTACCAGCCTGGTGGTTCCCATGAAAAAGCAGCAGTGCTGGCCGCTTTGGAGCTGCCGGCAGAAGCGGTGGGGATCGGCGAGGGCATCCTGGGACTACGTCGTTGGTTGAGATGGAAGAAAAGGGCAGAAGACATGGGCCTTCAGTTGCCCGATCCATCGGTCCTTTTGAGGGGCCTGGACCGGCTGGTCTCCAAGATTTTGGCTGGCAATCCAACCTTGCAGTTTCGCATTAACCTGACGAGGACAACACTGATGGTGGATTCTGTGCCCACTATGTCTTCCATTGACCAGTTGGCCGAATGCTTACTGGCTGAGATGGACCAGGTCTCCTATGCCAAAAAGAAGGAAAAGGCAGCCATCGCAGGAGTTCCTAAAGCTCGGAAGATGGAGGAGGCAGGAAAAAGAAGCGAAGTGCCTCAAGCCAAGAAGGGCGATGAGGGTAAGAAGGAGATGCCAAAGTGTAAGTACTTCCTGACGGAGAATGGATGCCGTCGAGGAAAAGCTTGCAGATGGGATCACAACCAGAAGGATGACCAGCGTCGCTGCTGGAATTGCGGGTCCACAAAGCACTTCTCCAACAAATGTCCAGTGAGTGAGGGCCAAGGAGAAGTCAAAGTGGCCAAAGCCGAAAAAGATGGCGAAGCCAGAAAGAAGAAGAATGATGAGGAGGACAATCAGTCCGACCGAGCAGTTGCTGGAGCGGACGATATGAAGAGTCTACTGGAAGAAGCTGGAAAGATGCTAAAGGTGATTCCAGGAGCTTCGCAGGAAAGCTCATCGGTTGAGGAGACCGGTGATGCCAAAATCAGGAGACTTCAAAGACAGCTGGATGAGCTTCGAGCTTCTTCGGTGAGAGTGCTGCGATTGGCCAGGGTCCAAGCAGCTGTGGAAGATTTGGGACTCCTTGACAGCGGAGCTACCCATCCTCTTCGACCTCCAAAGAAAGATGAGGATCTGTCCAAATGTCAAAAGGTGAGGATCAATCTGGCCGGAGGAAAACAAACAATGATGATGCTTTCAGAAGGTGGTGCCATCATAGGCTCTGAGGATGTGGAGCCCATCGTGCCACTGGGAGCGTTGGTGGAGAACTTGGGTTGCTCTTTGCAATGGACCGAAGGCCATATGGTCCTGTATCACCCCTTCAAGGGGCAGATTAGCACCCAGCTCAAAGAAGGTTGCCCGATGATCAACAAGTCTGATGCTTTGGAGTTGATCGAGGAGTTGGAAAAGAAGGCACCCGAGCTGAGGAGTGTAGAAGGATCCGCAGCTGAAGCCTACATGCACTGGATGAAGCGCTTGGTAGAAGAACACCCAGCACTTCAAGGAGTTCCAAAAAGAATCACAGAAAGGTTGGTGATCAGCCCTAAGGAAGGACATATCACCGGAAACCGAAGCCGAAGAAAGCTATGGAAGAAAGAAGGAGGTGTGACGTTGTACCTCTACTCAGGACCCAATGAAGGGTACACTATGGCCAAGGCCATTCAGCTCCTCGGAGGAGAGAAAAGAAAGGTCATAGCGGTGGACATCAAGAACGGAGCCAAATGGGATATGATGGAGGATGACCTCTATGCTGAGCTCATGGACATGGTCATCAAGGGCCAAGTGGAGTCCTTGGTGATGTCTCCAAATTGTCGCACTCGCTCAAAGCTCCGACACTATGAAGTTGAAGGAGTTGATCTTCCTGGACCGGTCCGAGAGTGGAACGGTGGAGAATGGGGAAAGAAGGGCATCGGAGAAAGAGAGGAGAAGAAGTGCCATGAGGATGATGTGATGCTCTTCAGAGGACTCATGCTCTACATGGTTGTCCAGGAGATCAGGAAAGCATCCCGCCACACCAAAGACATCGACCTTGTCTTTGAGCACCCCAGCACCCCAGCACCCCGGCAAACATGCCACAGGTGGTATCGTTCTGGTCCACCCCCCAATGGCAAGCACTCAAGCAAGCATACGGCCTGTGGGAGATCCACTTAGACCAAGGGAAGCTTGGAGGAGGAGGGGTCAAACCCACAACGTTGGGCGGCAACTTGCGCATGCAAGTACCCAGCGTGGTCGTACCAGCACCACAACCTCGATGCACACATGGCAAAACAAAAGAGCAGATAGT